CATCAGTGTTGATTTTTATCCACCCAATGTCTGGTGGATCCCAGAAAACCCAACGCATTTTCCCCACCGTTTTGGAGGTGTGAGGATTGTCCATTTCCATCGTTATTCTGGAGAGATCAGTTACAGCCACAATCGGGGAGGATATGCATGATGGTTTCCTCGTCCTCGCCACAACCCGTACAGCTGCAGTCCTCCGTTAAGCCTCTTCTGTATCTTTCAAAGTTTGAAAGCAACTTCCCCATCACCGTGAGCCAAAGAAAGAAGCGTACTTTTTCCTTTACGTTACGAAGAGGCTTGGATGCCATCTGGAGCAGGACTACCGTACTTCTTCATTTCCATAACTGCTCTCCTAACTTCTTCCATGTTCACCATCCGGGCCAAGTCAACCGCTTCCCTTCGGGTGATCTTATGGCCTTCATAGGTTTTTGTCCGGAAACCCCTTTACGTTACGAAGAAATATTGATTAAAAGCCTTCATGAGATGTAAAATTTCTTTCCTAAGAGTGGTTGAAACCGGCAAAAGTTCTTCGGTTGTTTCCTTGAAGTCTTAGATCGAAGAGTTCTCCCAAAAACAGGTCAAAACGTACGCCACTTAAATAGAGATTTGTGACCATTGACCTGCCCCATACATTGTCGTGGCGTGTCAAAAGGTGCGTTACAATATGTTGTGCCAAGTGACATGACCATGTCTCTGAGAGTATCGATTTTTGCATGAATTTTTCTCCATATCTTAGTCTAAATATCTTAACACTTTGAACACAAGAAGTTGTAGAGAGTCATCTTAGCTTTCCACGGACACTCTAATCATCTCAATCAGACTTTGTATCATATTATCAGCATCTCGCAAGGCTGTGTCCATGTGCATGTAAAAATTTGTCCACCGTTTTGATCCTAATTTGTACCAAATCTTTGAAAACTATGAACATCAAAGTCAGAAGAGATTGTCTTAGTTTTTCATAGACACTCAAATCACTTCAATTGAATTTTATATGAGTGAAATATAACCAAAATACTTACCGCATCTCACAAATTGCATATTTTGTTATTTTTGCTCAGAAATTCCTAAACAATAAATATTAATGAATTAAAGACTATATTCAATAAATAAACAAGATACATACAAAATCATCATAAATATGATATTAGAAATAATTGTAATTAAGCACTTATCTAATATTCCATTGGCTGGTCTCCACCCTCTCTTGACCATATGAATTATGTTGGTGTGTCACATTTTTGGATTATGTGACTTGCCTTCTGCTTTCTTTACCATGATCGAAAAAACCAAAAAACAAAACACAAAAGAAGAAGAAGAAGAAGTAGAAGAAAAAAGACATGCTTGAGAGATGGAAAGTTAAAAATTAATTCCTAACATATCACAGGATTTGAACTTCAGGAATATAATTAGAATGATGAAGATGATGACAAAATATATATTAAATCAGAATACGAAAAATAATTAGTATTTTAGTAACATAAATAGGATTTATTGAAAAAAATAAATACAAACTTTTGTGTTTTCCTCTAAATCAAATGCAGGAAACATACAAATCTTCAAATAGAGTGAGTGCCCCATACAAATTCTTCATTCCCAATTTGCACATAATCAATCTGTGCCAATTATATCAGATTAGTGGAGGCCAAAACTTGATCAATTAGTAAGTTACAAATTTAAAAAGGCAAGTCTAATAGATATTGTTTCACCAAAAGGAGACCAAAAATGAAATAATATAGTAGTGGGGTAATTAACTAATTATACCTTTTATTGCTTCATCAAATCATCATATGCGTCTAAGCTTTCTTTGCATCCTGACCAAATAGATCTTCATTTTCACATAGAGCCAATCTTTGACATCATTCAAAAATTCATAGTATGCAATTCTCCAAGAGTTTTTGAGCACCAAAGTGATTACAATTCCCCAGAAGAAGAGAGAGAACCCTAGCACCATGGATATGTAAAACTCTCGATTTAAAAAACTATCATCTTCTTGAAAGTCATTGTTTTTGTTTTGTGGAGGAACATATGAAGAACATTTGGGAAGTGGGGCCCCGCACAATCCAACATTACCGGCATAGGAAGAAGCATCAAAACTTTGCAGCTGAGTGCCTGTGGGGATTTTGCCCGATAGAAAGTTGCTCGACAAGTCAAGAACATCAAGATAATTCAGACGAGCAAGACCTATTGGAATTTCACCAGAGAGTTGATTCCTAGAAAGATCAAGGACTTCCAAATTTTCGAGCTGATAGATTGTCGAAAATATTTTTCCAATCAAATGATTTTTTGAAAGGTTCAAGGAAATTAATCCCTTGAGAGAAGAAAGTTCCTCGGGAATATGTCCAATCAATTGATTGCTTGAAAGATCAATGCTTTTTAAGAGTCCCAATTGCTTCCTATATTCTCTTTCTTGGTTTTTCCACTGAATCAAAATATTGTCTATATAGGAACTAAGTCTTTCACTTGAGGATGCATCATTAAGATATTGTATAGTATTTCCAATTGATCTACTATTTTTCATCATAAAAGTGAAATTGTAGAAGCAATGTGGAATTTCCCCTGTCAATATGTTTTCAGAAAGATCCAAGATTTGGATGTTATTAAGATGACAAATACTTGAAGGCACTTTCCCATAAAACTTGTTATGCCGGAGACTAATAATAAGCAAATTTGTCAAAGATCCTCCAATCCATGATGGAACTTTTCCCGTAAACTTATTTCCACCAAAATCCATAACCCTCAATGATGTGCAATTTTGCAACGAGGAAGGTAATTCCCCACTAAGGTGGTTGTTTCTCAAATGCAACGAGTGAAGCCAAGACAGAGAGCCTAAAGAGTGTGGAACCTTCCCAGAGAAATTATTATTTGCAAGGTTAAGAATGAATAAATTAGAAAGGCGGTTATTCCAACAATCAGGAATTTCACCTGAGAGTTGATTATATGAAAGGTCAATAGAACAAGTATCGGGACTAATAATTGAACACAAGAAAGAAATTAACCCAACAAACTTATTATTTGATAAATGAAGTATAGAAATTTTGTTGGAATTTATAGATATTGGGCCCCAAAAGTTATTAGAACTCAAATCTATGACTCTAAGAAAAGAAGACTCATTTTGTAAATAAGGCAATCTCCCACTAATCTTGTTGTATGACAAATTCAAGTACTCGTAATATTTGGAGAAGTTCCAAAACCAATTGGGTATCATATCAAAAATATCACTTGAAGAAATATCAAGTTCAACTATGTTATTCTGAGTGTGCAGCCATTTTGGAAATTGAGGTCCTATTTTACAGTTTGCTAGTAATAAGTGGTAAAGTTGAAAAGGAGGAACCCAATTACTACTCACGTTGAAAGACAGGGCTGCGTTAAATGACAAATCTAACTCTTGAAGATGGGTAAGATTTGAAAAGTGGGCTTCAGTTACAACTCCTTCCAATGAGTTTGATGAGGCATACAACCTATTAAGCTTTGATAGCTTCTTAGTTTCTGGTAAGCCCCCTTGTAATTGATTTATAGAGAGATCTAACACTTTTAAGGACAAAGCATGTGATAGATCAGGAATTTGTCCTGTAATTCGATTTCCATAGAGATATAACTCTCTTAAGGACAAAGCATGTGATAGATCAGGAATTTGTCCTGTAATTTGATTTTGAGAAAGATCTAACACTCTTAAGGACAAAGCATGTGATAGATCAGGAATTTGTCCTGTAATTTGATTTTGAGAAAGATCTAACACTCTTAAGGACAAAGCATGTGATAGATCAGGAATTTGTCCTGTAATTTGGTTGCCGGACAAATCTAAATATTCAAGACATGCGTCCTTGAGCAACTTTTGGAAGTTTGATCCATTTAGCTGGTTATAACTTGCGCGCAATTCTCTCAAACATGTAAATCTGGTGTTGATGATATCTGCAGGAAGTTCACCAGTGATTTGATTCCAAGATAAGTCTAAGATTTGTAGAGACTTCCCTGCGTACTTGAGCAGCGACTTTTGGAAAAATTCAGCAATTGACTCATTTAATTGATTATTATCACTCAAAGATAAAATTCGTAGATGAGTTAAATTCCGAAAAGATTTTGGAATTCCAGCATCCTCCGTGATAATAGAATCAAGATAAAGGTTCTCAAGAATTTCCATGTCTCCAAAATCATAATCAGGAATGGTATCTGCAAAGTAATTTCCTGAGAGGTTGATGGTAGTGAGTTTTTTGCTTGCATTGCGCAACAAGTGGAACACCGAAGAAGCATTGATATCGTCGTGAGAAAAATCAACAACGGAAAGAAATGGAGAAGAAGAATTAAGCGAGAAAGGCGGCAAAGACCCATGGAGTTCGCAGAATGGCAACTGTAATTTCTCAAGGAAAGGAGGGAGGGTGACACTGGTTTTTGATGACTCAATGTCAACACCACTGAGATAAATGGATCTTAGAGAGGAAAGAAGAGAGAGCCACTCAATATTTTTTATTTTCAAATTTGAAGAATAATAATATTCTGAAATATTTAGAACTCGAAGATTGGTAAGATTTCCAAGTTGTGGAGGAATTGTTCCAGTGAACCCGGCTTCCATAAGACTCAAGACACGTAATCTCTTAAAAGAACCAATGAATTCAGGGATAGGACTCCCTTGAAAATCATTGTAACTGAGGTCCAGATAATTCAAATGCTTCAGTTCAAGTAGAGATGGACTAACCTTGCGGCTTATCAGCTGTTTATAAATTGGATAATCTAACTGGGCATGAAGATCAAGCATGGTTACATGAGCAGTGGTGTTGTTGCAGTGAACACCCCACCAATTGCAACATTCATTATCATCACTTCCCCAAGAAGACAGAACTCCATACTCATCCACAAGGCCTTGTTTGAAATCCAGAAGAGCAAGCCTCTCCCTCTCAATACACCTTATCGTGTTGTTTTTGGCTGCAACTCTTTGTGTGAAAGCACAAGAAGACGAAGAAGAAAACAAGCAAACAAAAACGAAAAAGTAAAGAAAGGGGGGAAGTAGCGTAGTAGTAGTAGTAAACAACATTCTGATAGCAGCACAATAAGGTTGTAGGAATATTGGTTTTGAGAGCATGATGGATGAATAGATGTTTTATGAAATCTTGCAATGGGAGGGAGAACAACCAAACTAACTCTAATATATATACTGTAAATTTTGAGAGCATTTTGTGGGATTCAAGGACACCTCATTGATGAAAATGAGTCGAATTATAAATTAATTAGTAATTCTGTATAGGGAAAATGACACTTTTTCCCCCTATGTTATATACTTATAACACTTTTTCCCCCTTAATTATTTATGTAAGCACATTAGCCCCCTCAATTATTTTAAAAGTTGTGGTTTTCTCCCCTAATATATTAAATTGACATTTCTACCCTTAAAGTAAACATTTTATTTATTTTACTTCTCCAACAAATTATTGCGTATATGTAGCGATTACCACGGTTCGGTTCGAACTGAACCAGACACTATAGCAATCGAATTAAAAGTTTTCAGTTATGATTCAGATCTAGAACCCAATATTTGGATTTCAATTTATTAAATTTAAGAATAATAAAAAAAAAAATGGATCATGAACCGACGGTTCCGGATCCCGTTCACGATTTTGAACCGTCTTTATTTTAAAATTTTATTTTTTATTTTAAAATAGTTTAAATTCAACAATAAATGTATTTTATTTTTTCAGTTTGGAACATGAACCGCCCATTCCAGTTCGTGATTTTAATAAACTCTAAATATCGCGTTTTGATTATAAATTGTAATTGGAATATTTTGGTTTGGTTACTATAGTATCTGGTTTGAACCAAATTATAGTAATAATTTATTGGAGAATAAAAATAAATGAAATATTTATTTTAAGGGTAAATATGTTCATTTAACATTTCAGGGGGGAAAAAGAGCCACTTAAATAATTGAGGGCGAAAAAGTGCTATAAGTATATAACATAGGGGGAAAAAGTGTCATTTTCCCTTCTGTATATTTAATTTAATACAACTTTTATTTGAATTTAATTAATAAAATAGTTTATAATATTTTAAAAATTAAATAAGTCTACATTCACAAATCATGATTTTTTTTAAAAAAATTTTCTAATGTTTTATAGAGGAGTTTTTGAAAATTAGAAAATTTCATGGAAAGAAGATGAACACCCCAAGATAAATAACAGACAAAGACAACTTGATGATGTATTTACATCAAAGACTTTGACTTTGATTTAAATTATGGAAATTTATGAAACAAAAATGAGTAAATATCAATTTTTGTCCCATCTACTCTCTAATATATATATATATATATATATATATATATATATATATATATATATATATATACTGTAATTTCGACAGCATTTTGTTGGATTCAAGGACACCTCATTAATGAAAATGAGTGGATTTATAAATTAATTACTAATTCTGTATAATTTAATTTAATACAATTTTTATTTGAATTATATTAATAAAATAGTTTATAATATTTTAAGAATTGAATATGAAGCTAATTTCATTTTTGGTCTTAGATTTATTGGTGATATAATTTACTTTTAGTCCTTTTTTTATCAGAACATCCACTTTTAGTCCTAGTATTATTATGATATGACTATTTTTGGTCATCTATTAATAAAACAGTTTAAATGTTAAATACAAAGGTATTTCAGTATTTAATTATAGATTTTTTTTTTTTAAAAAAAAGAACATAAAATATATAATGGGTCAATCTACTTTGTATAAAAAAAAACGAGCTAAATATCATTGTATTTAACGATATTTCAATAATTTTGTTGACGGATGACACAAAATGATCATGTTATAATAATATTTAGACCAAATAAGAATGTTCCAATAAAAATGACTAAAAATGAACTATCACATATAAATCTAGAATAAAAAAAATGGAATTAACTCTTAAATAAGTCTACATTCACAAATCTTGATTTTTTTTCTTTAAATTTTCAACAATGATGTTTTAAGAGTTTGGTTTGGTGGGTGGGACTAGAGGAGTGTTTAGAAATTAGAAAATTTCATGGAAAGAGGATGAACACGTACTAGATAAATAGTAGACAAAGACTTGAGTAAATAATTTTTTTTATTTAATCCCAAAATTAATTCATTATAAAGTAAAATTTTATACAAGGTACCATACATAATTTATTATAATACGGAGTAACAAATTGTTAGAATATCATATAATATTTTAATAATTTATTTATTTATTTTTACTATGTAAAAGCTAAATATATGTGAAACAAATAAGACTTACTGAACGTGTCTCAACAAAACAAGTTAAGTCAGGATCAGCATAACTTTAGATGTAAATTAAATTTGAGGGTGTGGTTGAGTTGAAGGGACTCAATCATCCTTAACCCAAACGTATAAAGGGTTCGATCATTGACTTTGGGTATGGAGTAGCCTTACATCTCTTGGCCAGTTGTTCCACCCATTAAAAGTGCCTATAATTCGGTTAATGAATTAGTCATTGTGGTCGTCAGTGGTGAAAATCTTGGATACACCCAAAAAAAAAAAGTTACAGAGTAGATGTTAGTTTAACATGAATATGAATACTTTTTTTTTTTTGGTTGAAAAAAAAATATCTTGTAATCATAATTAATTATAAACATTAACAAACAAATAAATAGTATAGCAATACAAAAAAAAAGAAAATCTTGGTGTATAAATTCTTTTCACAATATGACCCTTTTCAAACGCAAATTTTATGTACTACAATATTATGATCCTTTTCACACGCATATTCATCATATTTAATTTTAGGAGTTAATCCATTTTTTGTCCTAGATTTATAGGCCACAGTTTACTTTTTGTTTTTATAGAAGAAAATAAAAAATGGAAAATAAAAAAAAAAATAGAAAGGCCTTGTTAAATTAGTTTATCATGATTTAAAGGTTTACCCTTAGTTTATAATAAATATATTTAATTTATAAAAAAATTTGTGGTGCATTAGTGTTAGGATAATGGTGAACTGAACATAAATTGCTTTATAAATTAAAGTATCCAATTTTTAATAACCGTTGCATGTTTAGGGATGGTAGATTGGGTCATTGGGTGGGATAGTAGCCGGTACAATTCAAAAACCTGAATTTGACCCACCATTCACTATAAACAAATTTTTTTATATCTAAATCTAATTCATTTAGAACGGATATGAGCAGGTAATATGGATTATATGTAAATTTTCATATTTATGCATGTTGACTAACATTATTTACAAATAGTAGAAAAATTTCTACCATATTTTTTGAAAGAAATTAAACTTACAAAATGGTGTAAAGACTTTTCATACTAAAAAGAAATTAAACTTACAAATTGGTGTAAAGACTTTACTAAGAAGAAATTAAACTCACAAAATGGTGTAAAGACTTGACTTGATGGAGGTATTTACATCGAAGACTCTGACTTTGACTATGATTTAAATTATGAAAATTTATGAAACAAAAATGAGTAAATACCAATTTTGGTCGTCCCACGAGTATTAGTAAAATGACAGTTTTTGTTCACATGTTTATTTTTTACCAGTTTTCATCCACGACTATAATTTTAGTATCAAATTCATCACGCTGATCACCCCTTCGTTTAAGATATACCGAAATCTAAAATTATTAAAGATATTTTAGTCATTTTCAAATTAAGTTTCCAATGTGAGCATGAATAAATAATGGATTTAAGCTCTAAGATCGATTCCAATTCGTAATTTTCTTCCTCATAAGAGATAACTGCCAATTGTGGAAAATTATATTCAAAGCGTCATATGAAACATTTAAAATTTTAGGAGGTTTCCCTTTTCTTTTGTTTTTTTTATAGAAATTTTAGAAGTAAAAAAAAAAAAAAAAAAAAGTGGTGTAGGGTGCATGTTGATTCACCCCATGATTAAATTTTATTCAAAAACTTATAAAATGGTGTAAAGACTTGACTTGAAGTTGTATTTACATGGAAGCTAGACTTTTGACATTGATTTATATTGTGGAAATTTAATTTGCAAACAAAAATTGGAGAATGTAATATAAATATTACATTTGATAAAATCCTAAAAGTTATGGTTAAAATGTGATGGAATATTATTGAAAAATTAAATATGAAAAATCAATAATTAAGGAGGGTAACATCGGCTAATCATGTTATTCATAACTAAAATGATTAAACGTTAATAATTTATGTGTTAAATTGTACGTACTATTTTGAATAATAATTTACTTATGCTTATTTGTTATATCATATATGTTAAACTTAATAAATTTTTTATTTGAATTTAATTAACAAAATTGTTTATAATATTGTAATTAAAAACTTAAATAGCTTAACATTCAATTTTTTTCTTTTAAAATTTTCAACAATGATGTTATAAGAGGTGGTCAGAGTGGGTGGCTAGGACTCTATCAGAGGATGTTTGGAAATTAAGAAATTTTATGGAAAGAGAATGTAAAATAAGTAACTGATAAAGACTTGACTCAATAATTTTCGTATTCAATCTGTATTAGAGTAATTTCAATGGAGTTTTTTTTTTCCCCCAAAAATCCACCCAATTTTTTTTTAAACAAAAATTCCTGTTGTGATTGTCAATAACCTCAATATTGGTTGTACTCATAGGGCCCTTTCTCTATACTAGGGTGTAAACGAGCCGAGTCGAGCCCGAGCCTGGGTATGCTCATGCTCGTGCTCGTTAATGATAGCACTGCTCGAGCTCGAGCTCGAGCTCGTGAACTGATGCTCGAACTCGAGCTCGGCAATTGTCGAGCTGCTCGAGCTCGAGCTCGAATTCGAGCCTCAACTCGAGCTCGAATTTAGGCTCGAATTTGAGACGAGTTTAGGCTCGAATTTGAGCTCAATTTTGATCTCGAATTTGACCTGTTTGATTTAAAATTTAAACTGCTTTGTTTTATGACTTTTATTCATACATAATTATTAAAGTATTTTAATTTTTCTCCCCCTAATTATTATTTTTATATACTAAATATAATATAATTATATTATATATTATATATTATATATTATATATTATATTATAAAGCTCACGAGCGGCTCGTCGAGCCGCGAGCCTACAATACCTAAGCTCGGCTTGTGCTCGTTTAATCCACGAGCTGCTCGAGCTCGAGCCGAGCTCGATTTTGACCGAGTTCGAGCCGAGCGTTTACCGAACCGCTCAGGAGCGACTCGCGAGCGGCTCGGCTCATTTACACCCCTAGTCTATACGGTACTCACAATTAGTACGTATAGGGTCAGTAGCATTTTGGTGGAGCCGGGGTGGTGTGGGAGGGGGTAGAATTGGTAGATTTTTTAAAAGAATAAAATGATTCATTTTTAATTACATCATTATAGTAAAATGAATTCTAAAATAGTAGAATTTCCTTTAAAAGTTGACTAAATGGTGCATCCACATGGAAAACTTGACTTCGTGGTGTATATATTGACAATTTTACACAATGTTGTGGAAATTTGATAAAAGAAAAATAATTATCCGAAAATATTCAACCCTCGTGCTAGAAAATTGTTTTTTTTTTTTTTTTCAAATAATATCCTTTTCACACATACTCGTGAATTCTATGTATGTCTACACATATTATTTTTTTTTAATTAAAAGCATGATGTAATATATTATTTAGTTGTTCTTTGCACATGAATTTCAATTTTTAAATTATTTTTTATCTAGTTAACGTCTGAATTAGGCTTTATATATAATTTACTTGGATGTTAACTTTCAAAATTTTATTTCCAATGTGGTTAGAATAACTCAATTTTAACATTTTGTATGTTGAGATATGATCAAAATACAACGACCATGCTTAACAGTCACGACTTTGTGGTTTGCAGAGGTGGTGACCACAGCCATGCATGGAAGTTGTGGTACCTGGTGACGGTAATAATGTTACCGGAAATATATTATAAAGTAACGAATAAGAGAGTAACAATAGTTGTATTGTCTTAGTTCCAGTATGGAAAGTACAGTCCTCTGCTCAGCTGAGGGAAGTTCTATTTATGCTAGGTCCTAACGGTAACAACATGAAGAGACATCCTTGGGGAGCTGAGCTAACGGCAAGAATATGAAGAGTCATGAATGAGGCGTTGAGGCTTTAACTCTCTCTCATCAATGGTGGCATCAAAGGTGGCTTCAATGATAATAAATGTGACACCTGTTAGAATTCTAACCGTTGGAGTTCTGCCCGTTAGGTTCCCATGTGATGCTGAGTCAGATGCTCATTTGTGATCCGGGTCGGGTGCCAGCCCTATTATCCTGTCACCAGTCCCCCCTACTCCTGAGTCAACGGATGTGTTTGAGTTGACTTGGGAGTAAGGCTGAATCTATCTTGATCCTGTGTATAATCCTGCTTGATTTAGGATATGTGATTTTATTTTATCCTGTGTATGTGATTTTATATATATTTTTTTTAAAAAAATCATATATGATTTTATTTTATTTCTTATGCTAGCCGAGATTGGCTTTGGCCTAGGTTGGCAGAGGTGCGTGCCTCCGGCCGAGGCGTCGCCTCGACCGATCGTGACCGAGGCGTGCGCCTCGGCTAACCGTGGCCGAGGCGTCGCCTCGACCAATCGTGGCTGAGGCGGCGCCTCGGCGGATCGTGGCCGAGGCGTGCGCCTCGACCGACCGTGGCCGAGGCGTGCGCCTCGGCGGACCGTGGCCGAGGCGTCGCCTCGACCGATCGTGGCCGAGGCCTGCGCTTCGGCTGATCGCGGCCGAGGCGTAGCCTCGACCGATCGTGGCTGGGGCAGGCTCCGGCCTATTTTTATTATTATTATTTTTTTCTTTTTGCCGAGACGGACTTCAGCGTTGGCCGAGGCGGGCGCCTCGGCCAAACTGTGGCTGAGGAGCGCCTCGGTCAGACTATGGCTGAGGCGCCGAACTTTGGCTGAGGTGTGCCTCGGCCATCCGAGTCGAGTCACGTCTCGGCCAACCTGTGGCCGGGGCGTGCGACTCGTTCCTTTTTTTTTTTTTTTTTTTTTTTTTTTTTTTTGTGTGAAACAACATGGGCGGACCACAAGCACGAGATATTATTCCAAAAGATTTCAGAATGCAAAGCGGGTGGACCGCGATTACCAACACTAGTCCCAAACGACTACTAGAATATTAAGGAAAATACTTAATCAAATGTTCCTAGCTCCATACCCGATCGATTATCCTTACAGATGGTGTGGATTTATGGATCATTTCTGTCAATCTTTTTGCATGCTTTAACGTAACAACTGCGGGCCGCTCGCTGGTCTCCTCTGACGACCCCTATCCCGCTCGGAGTAGGGAACTTCATACACAAGTGTTCCACCGACACTATGGCCTTGAGGTTCTCCAGTGCCGGTCTCCCCAATATGATGTTGTGCGCACAAGTGAGTCTTACCACGATGAATTCCAAGTCAAGTTTGCGAATGTTAGGGCTCGTGCCTATCTCCACTGGTAAGACCACTGACCCCTCCGTCTCCACTGAATCACCCGTAAATCCAGAGAGTGGGGTACGTACTTCTTTGAGCTGGTTCCTAAGTATCCCTAACTTGGTGAAGGCATCGTAATACATCACATTTACTGAGCTTCCAGTGTCGACTAAGATGCGGCGGACAATGACATCGTTGACGTCCATCTCAATTACCAGGGCGTCACGATGGGGTAACGGGCCCTCTGGGAGGTCATCATCAGAGAAGGTGATGGCCTCCTGTCTCTGTTTCTTTTCCCTGGGCTATGAGTAGTTTACCTGAGAGACCAGCAAGCCCCTATGAGAAGTATTAAGCCAGTCTGGGCTATAGCGCACATGATGACTCCACACGTAAAATGATGGAGGTTGTGTCTATCAGTGAGATGTATGACAGGCAAGAGGAAAATGTAAAAAAAAAAATGAAGGAAAATAGTGTTTTGATTGAAAAGACATATTAATGCCATTTGGTGGATGTTTCTATGTTGTGGTTTTTGCAATGAGTTTTTTTTTTTTTTTTTTTTTTTTTAATTGTGGTTTGGATGATGAACAAATATGAACTCCTAAGGATTGGTTTACATTGTCTATAGCTGGATTGTTTTAAATTTAAGTTTGCAGGAACCATGCTAGGAGTCATATTCACATGAACCAATAGGATTCATGAAGAATATAAGGGAGCAACTTTGTAAAAAATTTACAAAGTATGCATTTTTTTGAGCGACAGTATGCATTTTAATACTTTGATTTTTGAATACTAAATCAGAGTGATTTTTTGGTCTCCTATTGGATTCAAAGAACATTTAATAAAAATCAGGGTAAACTATACAAATTAGGAAATAATTGGCATAACACTTAACAATTTAACTATAAGTCTTCACGTAATCTCTTCTATTGGATTCAAATAACTTAAGGTATTTCGCACAAACTGAAAAGTAATATGACTAGACTATGAGTCAAGAAAAAGTTATGATTTGAAGCACAAAAAAATATTTGGTTACTGAAATAAAGATTGAAAATGTTAAAGTCACTAAACCTTTTTTTTTTTTCCAAAAAATCAATATACAGACTAAGATGAAAATAGTCACTTAAACGTTTCCAATTCCATTGTGAATCTGAAAAAGCATAAAGGTGTTTTAATGCAAACATGGATTCAAGTTGTGACTTTACGACTACTTAAAAGACACTCAAAACTGATTAAAGAAATCTAAACACTATCAAACACATGTAGTCATTGAACTGCAAATTTATTCTACCATTCATAGTATTATGAAGTAACTTACACAAATTTCACCATTATAGGCAACAATAGGAAACAATTTGAAGGCAATAAAGGTAAATTATTTACCCTTGGTCTTGATTAGCCTTCGTGTTATCCTGTAACCTTTATAGCTTCTCTCTGCTTTTTTATTCACAGACTCGCACAAAAAAAAAAAAAAAAAAAAAAGATACAAAATAGAGAATTAGAAAATTTGGAAAAATCTACCGTGAGAATAAACTTATATTGCAGGATACACAAAAATTACCATAAAAAATAGATAGAGTAAATGTCCATTTAGATTTTTTTTACATGATTCTTTTTTCTTTAGCACCGAAAAAAACATGCAATGGAAATTGAATAACAATCACAAAATGTGCGATTTAACAGAAAAAAATCTGTCATTATTGCAAAATATTTCAATATAGATAGTAGCATTTCAAATCCGAACAAAGAAGAAATCATTTAAAATTGCAGATCTGGAATGTAAAATGGAAAAATATAAAAATCATTAATTACAGCTTAGATCTACCAAATTTTAAGCAACACTCGAAAGATTTCATTGCATGCAATCAAAGTTAGAAAACAACTGATTACTGATAAGTGCTTATTTGTCTATATTTTTGCTCCTTTCACTAAGCCATTTTGTTTATAGATCATTCCAAATTTTATTAGATTAGGACTAATTTGTGTTATTTTGCAAGGAATTTGGTTTGAAGAGCTTTGGAAGCAAAAATGAATATTTTCATGCATTTTGAAGGACATTGGAGTCAAGTGGAGCATTATGGATACATTTAGGGTTCATGGGAGCCAAGGAGAAGCTAAGGTGATGAGCAAAACACTTCCAAGAAAGCCTAAGAATGGTGTATCCAATGGTCTTAATCATTTGGGCAAACCAAAGCAAAAGAGAAGCAAAAGATCATGGAATTGAAATTCCCAACCTGCACGTCGATACTTTAGTTTTTGGACCATATCTCGGCCTAGAAATGTCCAAATGCAGTGATTTTGGCTCCATTGGAAAGAAGACTCGAAGAGCTACAACTTTCATGAAGACATCGAAGCCTAATTCTAAGCATAAAGTGGTCAAAATTAGCCTACAAGTCGGAGTTGCGTTGCAGAGAAGCACTCGACGCGTCGAGAATTTTCTCGACGCGTCGAATCTGGGCAGTGAGATCGCGTTTTGCAATCTGTAAATGCTCGACGCGTCGAGCCCCCCGTCTCTGCTCTATTTTAGCTGAATTTTCACTCATTTCTACTCGGTTTTGAACCCCATTCGAACCCTAACTATTTTCTACTCTTTCTTTTCATATTTTAGTGTTAGATTAGGTGTAGATTTTGGTTCTTTACCATATTTCAAGCTTGTATTCAAGGATTCAACATTTGGATTCCAAGATTTAGCATCAATTTCTTTAGAGAAGTGTTCTTTCCCTTATCTCTTTTCCTTTGCAATGTTTATGCTTTACACTTGTGTTTTTATGTTCTTTATGCTATTAAATCATGAGTAGTTAGTTTATGGACTTGAGTTAGGGTTGTATTATATATCTTGATGCTTGATTTGTGATTATTGCATAAAGGGGATTTTGCCTACCTAGGGTTCTTGAGTTTATGAAGGATTTGTGTTTGTATTTTGTTAATGCTTGGTGTACAACATTCATTGACATGTTTTGGAGGATTATTGGCCTCAATGAGAGTTGGGTCAAGATTCCAAGCCACTCCTTGCATAAACCCGATTTTTCCTATGAAAATTGGAGAAATTGGGGGTTTTAGATGCTTTGTGTTCTTGAAGAACTTGGAGTTGATTCACCACGAGAGTGGGGCATTTCCTTGTTCTAATCCTTGTTAATTTGCTCACGTGAGTGACTTATAGACTAGGATTCCTACGTGCATCCCCTCTATTCCTTGGTTGTGTGATTTTCCCCAATCCTTAGGTTGTGCTATGCATCTAGATGATAATACTCCCTAGCTTGAGTCCTATTTCTTTATTTTGTGTTTATCTTTGTGTATATGTGTTAGTCTTATCATTTCCTTAAACTTGTAGTTTGCTTAGCTTCTTGTTGATTTCCTTATGCTAGTGCCTAGTTTATTGTGATTGCATATTGCGTGCCATATCCCCCAATCCCCTGAGGACGATATAACACCCGAGCTCACATCTTATTTTTGCTACATCAATTACAAATACTCATGAAGATTAAACCGATCTACAATTTTAACATGATGAACACTGCTAGATGAAGTAAATGAGAGAAAAATGGAATAATTTACCAAGAATTTGAGAAACTTCATCTTCATGAAGGAATATAGAGAATGGTTTAGACCATTCTAGAGACGAAGTCTCTTCATCGGCCAATATACTTCCAGGCTGGAGAATAAAAGCCGACATCTTCTCTTCTGCAACTTCACATTTAAGAAAATAATAATAATAATAATAATAATAATAATAATAATAATAATAATAACAAACTATGACTCAAACACGTCTGGGTCATAGAAGATTAACAAGATCCATTTATGAAATGGAGTAAAATAGGAAGATCAGTGCACTTTCCACATCTAAAGTTGATGAAGAATTGAAAATTTCTGGAGCTTTAGAGAAATGTAGAAGGAAATGTGAAAGGCACGTGTAGAGAAAGACAGAGGCACAGAGCAGGGCCGGGTATATTGGATTGGCTGATGGGTCGTCCATTTTGATCAAATGCAACTTAGAATGAAACCTTGGTAATATAAGGTCCATATGTATAAACTTGGCAAATTATGGTCCACACAATAATGATTGATTAAACAATTATTATTGTGTGGATCATGATCCACACAAGTTGTGTGGACTATATTTTATATATTGTAAAATAATGTACATTCAATACAAAAATAATGTACATTCAGTATAAAAATAATGTACATTGTATTAATGGGACGTACATTATTTTTGTATCGAGTGTACATTATATTGTATAATGTATATTCAGTACAAAAATAATGTACATTTAGTATATTAAAAATGTACTTTTTGTTATGGTCCACGTAACATTGTGTGAACCATGGTCCACACAATAATTTGACATGTTTAGTGGTAATTTATATCGTGCACTACGGCACACATAGCAATGTACGCCCAGGCACAAAACGCTGCCGTTTCAATTGCTGTTGATGGAGATTGACGTAACCGACACCACTCCGTTCGTCCAAACCCTGCTATGTGTATTCAGTTTAAAGTTTATGTGTATTGTGTTCAAAGTTGATGTGTATCCTGTTAAGAGTTTATGTGTATTATGTTAAGAGTTTACGATCGATGTTTAGTAATATTTTTTTAGAAAATTGTTATTCTATATTTAATACTGTACCCTAAAAAACAGGTCAACGATGTATTTATGGTATTTTTCAAGGTTCACTATCTATTCCATTGAGCATGGATCACTTTGTAAGCAATGACTTTATTTATTTATGTATTCATTCTTTTTGAGACTAATTGGTAAACGCTCTAAAGGATTTTAGAAATTTTAAGTTGTCAACAGTTTTTGAGATTGCTATTGTAATAGTTGGTGATCTTGATTCAAACATTGGCAAGCGTGATATCTTGGTTGAGGTAATGTTATAAAAACTTAAACGAATACGTGAATTGAACTCTACATACTTGCCTTTGCAATATCCGATTTTGTATCCATATGGAGAAGATGGATATAGGTAGCATATAGTATGAAAAAATAAATTGTTTTAGTAAAGAAATAAAATTTGGTGCAGAATTTGGTGTAATGCTATTCACACTCTTGGTTGTAGATTCTGAGGAGGCTTAGCCGAAGTAACTCTTGGTTTTAAGAATAATTTTTGACAGTTTGTTAAATTAAACTTAATATATTAATAATAACGAATAGGTAATAATCTTGAATGGGTTAAATAGTTGTTTTATGATTTATTATTGTGGAGTAAAATAATATTTACATTATAATCATATTTTATATTAAAATATTAAAAGTTATAATACAAAGTCTTAATTTATGAAAAAATAAATTATTTTAGTAAAGAAATAAAATTTGGTGTAATGGGTTGGAGATAGAATAAAAAATGGTATAAGAATATACAAGGAATATTTCCTATGGTGTACTTTCTTTTATGGTCCATACAGCACTATGTGGACCATGGTCCACACAATAATTTGCCTATATATAATCTCAGGGTTACGAGAAAACATTTTATTAATTGTTTTATTGCGTTCGGGTTATGTGCTACATTATTGGGTTAGTTTTGGGTCAGATTATTTAGAAGAAAAAAATGAAAGAAATAAAGTTTGATCCAAGAATTTATTATATTTAGTATATTTCTTTATTAAATATTATAAAATAACATTAGTGTAATGGGTTGGAGATGGAAATAATTTGATGTAAAAGTATATTTGAGAATATTCCTTTTATTGGGTTTTGGTTATGGGATACATTCCATTTTTTGCAAAACAAATTGATAATATGAGATGAAGGTCCAATGATGTACAAATGTTGCTATAAAGCTTTAGACCTAACAATGGATAGCTAATGGATAGCTAATATAGGTGATGGAATAATTGGTAGTCAACGTGATGGTGAGTCCGAGATTACTGTTCTAGAACATTTGTTGTTGAAGTGCGAGGATGACCCTATTGCTACAATTGTTGATAGCACTTTCCCTAATTTCCGACTGGGAATTGCCGATTTATCATATCTTAATGATAGTGCAATTTTAGCTCCAACATTGGATGTGGTAGATGCCGTTAACCAATACATGAATGATCATAATCCGGCTGAGGGTAAGACATACTTGAGTTGTGATTCTGTGTGTAAGTCAGATGCCAATGTTGACATGTTAGCGGATTTGCACACTCCCGAATTCTTGAATGCCTTGAGATGTTCTGGAGTACCAAATCATGCTTTGACATTGAAAGTTGGATCACCTGTTATGCTATTGCGAAATATTGATCACACGCTAGGATTATGCAACGGTACAAGGTTGATTGTTACAAGGTTAGCTGACCACGTGCTGGAAGGCCAGATCATGTGCGGTACAAATGCAGGAACCAGAGTATTGATTCCTAGAATGTCACTTACACCGTCAGATCCAAGATTGTCTTTCAAATTTCAACGAAAGCAATTTCCTTTGATGTTTTCCTATGTCATGACAATCAACAAAAGTCAAGGACAAACGCTTGCTAAAGTGGGGTTGTTGTTGAAAAAACCTGTCTTTAACCATGGACAACTGTACGTAGCTGTTTCAAGAGTTAGTAACCCCAGGGGTTTGAAAATTTTGATTTGCGGGGAAAGTGTATCATGTCTTAGTACGACTAAAAATGTTGTGTACAAAGAAGTCTTCAATAATGTATAATAACATTCCACAATTTATTATTTAAAATTTACTATTTTTTTAAATACTAGGTTTCTTATTCTTATTATATTATACGTAATATTCTATGTACTATATAGGTAGTCATGCATCACATTGTTTCAACAATGAAGTTTTCAAACAATGTCTAATAAAATTACTATATTCATCAATGTGTAATAAAATCACAAGTTTTTCATTTCACATTTTGTCAGGTTCAAATAACTATATTCTATACTGTATATATATCATACTATATATATAGCCGCGCATCGCGCGGGTGCACCTACTAGTCTTCCTATATATTAAAGCCATAAGATTTCGGCCAATGAAATGGCTCCATTTTCCCGCTCAATAAAAGTGACGTCGTTTGGCTATTAGAAAATTGCGGTCAAATACTTTTTAATTAACTTTATATTTTCAGTAATTGTATTTGTATTAATCTTAAATACTTAAGTCATGCTCCACATTTTAGGTTTCCCAAATTTGTGGGGAGTTGTTCCAAGTTGAAGGCCACCGTTTGCATTAAATGATTTTATACATACACTATTGCGAATACATATCAAAATCGAAACTCAGATTAAATAAATCTTCCTATATATTAAAGCCATAAGATTTCAGCCAATGAAATGGCTTCATTTTCCCGCTCAATAAAAGTGACGTCGTTTGGCTATTAGAAGATTGCGGTCAAATACTTTAAATTAACTTTATATTTTCAGTAATTGTATTTGTATTAATCTTAAATACTTAAGTCATGCTCAGCAACCTTTTAGGATTCCCAAATTTGTGGGGAGTTGTTCCCAAGTTGAAGGCCACCGTTTGCATTAAATGATTTTATACATACAATATTGCGAATACATATCAAAATCGAAACTCAGATTAAATAAATACATATCAAGATGAATTCAAAACACCTTGCAGCTTTTCTATTTTGGCGTTTCATTTTCCGGTGCAAACCCATAATTGCTCTTCAGTAATTGTTGAGTTTTCTTGGAATTCTAAATCCTCCAAATCTGATTTGAACTCTTCAGCTTAACTCTGTTCTATAAATAATGGCTACTAACCAGCCATTTTGCGAATTAAGGTCTGCGTGTTTGTTCTTTCTTTGCCATCTACTCCGCCTGAAAATGGCTCCGCTCTACATTTTAGGAAAACAGTCAAAGACCTCAGTCCGAGTACCTCAGTCCAGGTAATTTTAAACCTATTTTAATCCTTCTATTTCATTCCTTCTAAATACAAATATGATTTTAAACCAAAAACCAGATTATGATTTACTTTTATAACAATATTTCAGATCTAATACTTTTTTGTTTTCAGATTGAAGGTTGAATATACCCCAGTTAGAATCATCAACTGTGTGTCAATGATGTCCTATGGCAACAGTACATACAATTCCAAGTCTCCTAGGGTAATAAGCACTATAAAAGATATATATGACAAAGCTGAGGTATGAATAATACATACTGCAATTGAAATATTTTTATTTCTTAGATGCCCTATATATTTTTCTAATTTATCTGCATGCTTTGGTTTTAAAAAGCTATTTTATATAATACTTCCTACCAATAACCCAAGTAGTTAAGTACCAAGTGTATTTAGTACTAACAGAATAGAAATAGCACACTTTTCAAAAACATAGTACTCTTAATACTTAATAAAATACTTGAACCAAGTATTATTTTAGCATTTTCTGAAGTACAAAATAGTATACATATCAACTAAAGCAGTAGGCTTAAAAATCACATTTGCACATGTGTTAGATGTAATGATTAAAATTAGTTGAAAAAATAATTAAAAGTTACCTTGGTCCAACTGCATCCAACAATATTAGCATGTCTTTCAAATTGTTTGATGGTAGGTTGAATAGCTCTAAAAATTTCTCTGGATCAAAGAACTTTTTTATTTTCAAAAGCACTACATTGCAACAACCAAAGGGTGCAATAAAAAGCTTGTGTCTAAGGGTGGCCTATTGTAATGTGATATGTGTAGCAGAAATTGGGCTAAAGGTATTTTGAGATATCGTTTGAAAGTGAGTGTGGTCGATGTCAATGGGGATGCCCCCATTCTTCCTTTGGGAAATGGAATGTGTTGATCTAATTGGTATTACAACAGCAGAATTGAAAGCATTATATCCAAGGGTAAATATCATTTCACCATCTACTTTTAATAATCTTTGAATCTTAATACTATAAGTGAACTAATGCAGACTATGAACTTGACTTAGGGAAATGGGAAGATACCTATGCAGTTAAAGACTTTGGTTTGGTTTATCATTGGTATTTAAAATTGTTGGTAGAAAGGAACAATTTGACAATCTACTTAATTCATTTCCTGTGATAAAAATTGAGAAAGACAGTGCATGATAAACATGACACTGATGATGTAAGGTTCCTAAATAAATATAATTGTAATCTATAATTAATTGTTATTTTCTTAAATGGAAGCCAGTGAAGTCAGTGAATGGAAGCCAGTGAATATAATTCTAATCTATAATTAATTGTTATTCTAATCTGAAGATGTAACTGCTTTGAAGCCAGTGAAGGAATTGAGTGGTGATGTAAGTGGTTCACTGAAAAGAAATCTTCTGGATGAATTATCATCCACTAAAACCTCAAATAAGAATAAACAAGTGAATGTGAAGCTGGAAAAAGTGACATTGACCTAGACTAGCTTGGTTTTTGACAAAATCATTTTGTACTGGTGGGCTGTGAAACAATATTCAGTTCTGTATTTTGCCCCGTTTGACCTCTAAAACATGATTTTAGACTGTGGTTTTTGGCCCAAGTGCCAATGATGTCTAAGTTAGAACTATTGGTTTCTATGTGATAGATATTAGCTATCTTGCGGTTGTCTTAAGTTATTTTCAGGTGCATATTCAAGAAAGATGGTGATGCAATGGAATAAAGAAAGATTCAGGGAACATACTGGAAAGACAAAATGTTTACAGATAGGAAATCTGACTATTATTTATATGCAATGTGTAAGTGAGATTTTTTTTTGTTTTGTTTTTGTATCAAAGCCATGAATCATAGATTTAAAACCTCAATTATGTACATTGTTTTCATGAAACTACAAACTGGTCTAAGGTTGTAAAGCAACAAAATTGAAGGTAGGCACTTACAGAACCAAAAAAAAACATTAAATCTTAGCTTTAATTTCTCTACCTTCTGCTCAAGTGCCATTTACAGAACCAAATCACAGAAGAAAACAAACACTATACCTATCAAAACTACTTAGTACTAACAATCCAGATATAGCATCTTAAGGGTACTTACTAAATATCATACTTATCAAGTACAACAACAAGGCTAAAATTACTTATGCACATGTTTTTAGAATAGCATATTAAGGCTACTTACTAAATATCATGCTTATCAAATACAACAAGAAGGCTAAAAAATATAACAAGAAGGCTAAAAACTACTTATGCAAATTTTGAAGAAAAAAATTGATCAAAATATGTTTTAAAAATAAAAGAAAAAATTTACCTTTGAAAGCTATGTGTTCATAGTTCATATACCTTTACAAACCAGTTTGATCAACTTCATACACTATGTAAGCTATCTCTACCTTCTCAACCACTTTAAAATTGGTTGATTGAATGTTTAAAAGCTGAAATTTAATTCCGTAAAAGAAAATTTAAGCAACCAAAGTTAACTGGAATTCTATTATGTATTTATAAAACTCAAATTTCAATAATTATGTGTGCAGACATGTTAAAAATAAAAATAATAATAATAATAAAAAATTTAAAAAAAAAAAAAACTCGATGTAAAATTGAACTTGTGGCAAACAAGTTGCACATTATTCTATTCTATACTTTCTAGCATACATAGAAAAAATAATTAAGAATTGAGATAGAAACAAAAAATATTTTAAAGCAATTAGACAACCTAAAATTTTTAAGATACCATAATAAAGACCATACTTAGTAACTAAAGTATAACAATAAAGATTACTACACTCTATAACTATAACAGTTGTCAAAAAAAAACATGAAGATAATTACAAGTCTAATGCCTAAGTGTATAAAAATCATATGGCCTAGATCAGAGTAACTATTACTTTACAAAATGGTAATTAAATAGTTACAATCATTGAGGTATTTAAATCTATGATTAACAATTTAAACAACAATCTGGACATTAAAGCATAGAACAAACAAAAATTTCAAATTAGGACTGAACCAAGTTCTCCAAATTAGAAAATTGGTAAAATTAGATTTATAATATGTAAAATAATATAAATATTACCTGATAAAGTAGTATGTTTTACGAGCTGCTGTCCAAGAGCTTCTTTGTCGGTGGCGCCATTTCACCACAAAGGATTCGATTAAGGTTTCTACTGGATATAAGAGCTAGAAGTGATGTAATTAGAATCATACTGGTACTATTTTTCGGCGTGCATAGCTTGGATTTAGTTTTGTTGCGCAAGGGTTGGCTTGGTTTCTATTTGTGTCGACGGAGGAAGGTTTTGGGCAGAGACGCGAGGAAGTCGACAGGAAAGGGTGTTTGGTTTCTAGGGTTGGGGTTGGTTTTTGTTCAGACATTAAATGGGTCGGGTATGGGCTTAGGTTTTGGGTTTCTTTTATGGGCTATATATATATATATATATATATATATATATATATATATATATATATATATATATAGAGGAAGGTTCAAGTGCGGCAGTGCACTTAGGTGCGGCAGTGCGGTTAATTGTAGGCCATTAGATTAGATAAATCCAACGAATCACATTCATCCAGGCTTTTCCGATATTTCCGCGCGCGTTCTCACAGTACGCGAACTGCAAGGTTAAAGTCGTCATTGGGCACCAGAATATATCAAATCATAGTGTTGTGTGTTTTATGTTCATTATTGGTGCATTATTAACCTTACTGTGGTGTATTTGAGAATTCATGTTGGTGCCTTCCCGAGCGGTCAGTACGACCACACTAATAGTTATACGAATATACACCATCCATGTTATAAAATGCACACCAAAAAAACATGCACAAATTAGATACGCATCACCAGAACGCACCACTAGGTATGACTAAAAGCATCACACAGTGTTCAGAATACACCATTGGGTGGTGAGTTATATGGTGTATTTTTTGGGTGTGTTGTGTGCTTTTTGGTGTATTTTTACATTTCATTGTGGTGTTTTTTTCTAACACTATTGGTGTCTTTTGTTAACACTGTTGGTGTATACTGACAAGCGACCAATATAAATAACCACTACAATTGCCATAAACCCCCCACTTACCAGGACGCGCTTAAATCTTTAAATCTTCGGAAATTAGCTGCTGCCGTTAGATTAAGCAAAATAGATGACGCTGATATGACCGCACCGCCGCACCTAAAGTCACTGCCGCATATGAGCCTTATTCTATATATATATATATATATATATATATATATATATATATATGGAGTAATGGGCTGATTGGGTTGGTTTAGCTAATCTTAATAAATAAATAAATAAATAAATATATATATATATATATATATATATATATATATATATATACACACACACACAAAGTATTTTACTTTCAAAGAGCTTTGAGATAGTCCACATACTATGGACAATCAAACTCACTAATGTATTCTTTCAGAGTAAATATTTATGATCATAATAATTTTATAATTTTATTATAGCTAATCAACATAATTATTAAATAACCAAAATTTATAAAATAATAAATTTCATATTCCCTTTGTATATATAAAATTTAATAACACTATTAATTTTTAATAACATATAAAATTTTAACGAATAATTACTTCAAATTCCTACATACTAAGTTTTATTGAAAAATAAACTTAACTAAAGGATTTACAATTTCACCTCCGTGTATCGCACGAGTGACTTATCTTTCGTACGGCTTTAATATGTGTTCAATATTACATGTCTTATAATTGCAACATAACAACATAGTCGTGCATCACACGAATACAGTACTAGATTGATGGAACAATTAACAATAGGAGTGCACCACCAATTTTTAGACTACATGGTCAAATTTTCCACTAAACGGGGAGTTTGTTACCAGAATCTGACGCTAAACCAAAGTTTGCTCAATTATATATTTATGACACTGAGAATGAGATCAACAATTGACTAAGTGCGTTGGGGTTAGTATGGTCATTCAAAATAACTTAAAATGAGAATGATTCATTAGTAATCTAAATTATTCTAATTACCTAATTATATTTCGTCTATTTATTATATGTTCAACATTTTATTTACTATACGTTCAACCTATACAAGTGTTATAGCTTGCACCATAATAATATTGTTGTGCATTGCATGGGTGACATAAGGAAGTTAGATAGATAGTTGAATAAGACGGTTACAGAGAAGAATTTAAAATTGTGAGTATTACTAATGAAGAGGAGGTTGAGAAGTTAATTAGATAGTTTTTCCAAGTGGATTGCAGATTTAGGTTATGGAAAACTTGGTGAATACAATGGTGTTGATTGCAATATAATTATACCGTCTTCCTTTGTATTGGAAAATGAGGGCGATTCCATTAGACAAATTGTTGACAGTACATTTCCTAAATACCGTACTGGAAACATGGATGCAAGACAACTCGTGAGTAGAGCTATTTTGGCTCCAAACATTAGATGTTGTCTTTAAATTCTATGAGGTTAGGAATTTAGAAATTTTATTTTTACAAGCTTGGTTAGGAATTTAGAATTTAGAATTTAGAAGCTTTACTATGAGGTTAGGAATTTAGAATTTAGAACTTAGAAGGTTTTTTTTTTTTTTTGATTTTTTTTTTAACAAGCTCTACTCAATCTTAAATTGTATATTGGTCTAATTACTTATGTTTTGTGGACTATAGTTTTAAATTTACTAAAAATGCATTATTGGTCTAATTACTTATGTTCTGTGGACTATAGTTTTAAATTTACTAAAAATGCATTATCTTTAGTAAAATTATTATTTTTTACTTACAAATTTAAGTTGTATATTGATCTAATTACTTATGTTTTGTGGACTATATTTTTAAATTTACTAAAAATGCATTATTTTATAATATAAATAAATACCATAATAAACTTTTATTATAGCAATAATGTAAATTCAGTATATTAATAGTGTATACTTTATTCATGGTTCACAAATATATGTATCTTTAATTAATGTAATAATATATATATATATATATATATATATATATATATATATCATATTCTAAAAGCATTAGAATTGAGAAGTCACATTTTCTATTATATATAAAAATAAATTCTATTTGTGCATTGTATTGGTGGAGTACTTGACAAATTCACAGTTTGGTCTGTTGATTATAAATATTGTCTATAAGAAGGTGTTTAATAAATTCTGCATGAATTTAATAAATATTTGTTTCATTATGTTACAACCAATGTAATGTGTATATATTATATTATATAATATATATTCAATACACAATTAATGTACATTTAGTATAATAAAAATGTACTTTTTGTTATGGTCCACATTGCACTATGTGGACCATGGATCCACACAATAATTTGCTAAATTGGACCACAATCTGATAATGTTTTTGTATTCCTATACGTACACATGTATATACCCATATCTTATATTTCTGTGTATTTGTTTATTTTTTATCCTATATAAAGATGATATTCGAGTAGATGTATGTGTACGTATGTATATGTTTTTTATAATATTTATGAATATATGTATCTTTATTATATTTTAAAAAGTTTTGTTATGTAGAGGATTTGTTCTTCTCTGTTCTTCAAATGCTGACTTTAAGGAATCAACACCTAAAAAATTTGTTCATACTTAGAAAAGTATGTGGGACGTAGAGAATGAATTGATTTCTAAATTTGTAAAGTGAGGTTGTGTTCGACAACTTGAGAGTTGAAAGGATGCAATTGAAAGGCGAAATGGTAAAGAATAACAAAATGTTGTCCTTAAACGGGTTGTATGGTAATTAATTTATATAAGGATATAAGGATATCATGAGATTTTTTTTTTCGAACAACTATTTCTCTATGTATGCCTTATTCAATTTATATTAACAATTTTACTCTTTATAGTAAACTTAATTTTATTATTCTAATAACACAATGCACATAAATAATAATATTATCTCAAACTTATATTACAACAACATAACTAAAATGTTTATAAAAGAGTTAACAGTTTTTTCTCTTATGAAAAGAATGAAAAATTTTTGTTTAAATATAACCGTTTTTAAATGGTCTATTTTTTAAAAATAAAAGGTTAAAATTTTGTATGTTTAACAGATTTAATACGAAAATTAAACGAAATTTTTCAAAAATTAAAGGTTCAATTTTTTCAAATTATATCATTATATTTTCAAATTAAAAGAGTTAATAGTTTTTGTTCTCATGAAAAGGGGAAAGAACACGTGTCTTCAATTTGAAAGTTTAGAACAATACAATTTGAAAGTCAAAAGATCATAATTCGTCAATTTGAATGTTTAGAACTAAACGTGGCAAAATTACTATACTCAGATGATCACAAATGACATCGAATGGCCAAATATGATATTAACACTTTTTAGTAATTACCTAACTTAAATATCAATTTTTAATTTAATAACAACATTTTATAAAAGAATAAATCTCATATTTGTTTTTTATATATGAAATTTAATAACATTAATATTTTTAATAACATAACATGATTTTAATATTTTAAATATTGGTTTGTTATGATTTTTTAAAAAATTTTAAACAGTTTGAGATGCTTAGGAGCCCCCAACCACTGTTTAACTTTGAAAGTTGGAACTCCAGTTATGCTACTGAGAAATATAGATCACTCATTGGGACTGTGCAATGGTACAAGGTTGATAGTAACACAGTTGAGAAATATGTTATTGAGGCACAAATTCGATGTGGCAACAACGCAGGTACAAATGTGTTGATCAGACACAAGATTTCCATTTAAATTTCAAAGAAAGTAGTCTTCACTTATGTTGTCATATGCAATGACAATCAACAAAAGTCAAGGTCAAACGCTTTCACAAGTTAGTTTGTTACTGAAAAAAAAAAACAGTTTTTAACCATGACCAATTATATGTAACAGTTTCTAGGGTGAGTAATCTTGACGGTCTTAAGATCTTAATTTGTGGGGAATCTAGACGTCTTTTAAACAAGACTCAAAATGTAGTTTACAAAGAAATCTTTAATACTGTGTAATTGTTTTGTTTATGGAACACCAATAAATCATATTTTGTCTATTTATTACATCTAAAACCTTATTGGTCTTATATCTTCGATATAACAATCTTTTATATATTGCACCATAATAACATGGCCGTGCATCGCACGGGTGCAACTACTAGTACATATCAATAGAGATGAATTCAAAACACTTTGCAGCTTTTCTATCTTGGCGTTTCATTTTCCGGTGCAAACCCATAATTGCTCTTCAGTAATTGTTGAGTTTTCTTGGAATTCTAAATCCTCCAAATCTGATTTGAACTCTTCAGCTTAACTCTGTTCTATAAATAATGGCTACTAACCAGCCATTTTGCGAATTAAGGTCTGCGTGTTTGTTCTTTATTTGCCATCTACTCCGCCTGAAAATGGCTCCCCTCTACGTGTTTGTTCTTTCTTTGTTTGGTCGCTGCTCTTCATTAAGGTCTGCCTCAGTCCGAGTACCTCAGTCCAGGTAATTTTAAACCTATTTTAATCCTTCTATTTCATTCCTTCTAAATACAAATACAAATACAAACATGCGTAAAGTTGGGTAGATTTCAGCCTTCTAAACTTGGCTCTATAAATACTTGGTACGACATCTTCAATTCATTCTCTACCACCATTCTCCCTTTGAAGCTAGGTTTGATCCAATTTTCTTTCTAATTTTCTGATTTTGAAAATCTGCAAATGGCTCCACTCTTCATTTTGTATGCAATAGTCAGGAAACAGAAGAGTGAAGAAGGCAGAACAACAAATACTAGAGCAGGTAAAGTGTATGCAGTACTAATAGTACTTATATATTTTCTATTGGTCATTCTATATTCTTGGATATTTGTTAAGTTGTTTTTTGGTGTTGATGTTGCTATTACTGTTTCAATAGAATGAGGTTATTTTATTGGAACCCAGTTCACTAACTGTGAAGGGGACTCTCCAAATGCAGTTCAAATTGACTTTTATTGGATTGCAGGAATTAAACTACATTGAGGTAGTAGGGTTGTGGTTACTAAGGAAGATCATGTATAATTAGTCAAACAGTTTAGTATTGGTCATTTCATTATTCAAACATTAATATTGTATGTAGATGTAATTAGTCAATTATTCGAACATTAATTTGGTATTCTAATTTTATCTATTTAGAAATTGGCCATATAAACCTACTGATTTTCTGTTATTAATTTTAGCTAGGATGGACAAATCTAGGCTGTAAAATCATCAATGCAAATGTCTAGGGATAATATAAACAATTGAAATTTACCTTTTCCAAATCTGCAATCTTCCAAAATGACCAAATATTTTTTATTATCCAATCTGCTGTGTTTTGCATAATTATCCAATCTGCTTAACAGGAAACACTATTATATTAAAAATCCCTTGCTTGGCAAATGTTTTGCATAATTAAATGAAATTATAAGCATGAAACACTATTATATTATGCATCACAAAATAAGTTTGTACACAAACTGTTACTTTACACCACCATTGGAAGGAAACAGTTGCAAATATTTCGGTTGTTAATGCCATGTTTAACACTCCAACACCAATCAGTTGTATTGATACATATCTGGGCATCAGAACTCAGTTGATTCATCACTTGCCATTTCTTGGATTTCAAAATGTTAGTCAATCTAGACAGTAAAGTAATAATCATATTAGGCTTATAAAGACAAAGCAGAATGAGATAACAAGTCTTTTATTCTTCCCAAAAAGAGTATTCATGACAGCCCTTTAAGGCCCAATCAGTATTCACATATGCTAACAATGCAAATAACATTTGGTTGTTTTACCGTTAAAAATTCTGTACAGTCCTTACAAACAGAATTCTGCTTAAAGACATGCGGAAGATTACTTCATCAACAGTTATTGGTGGAAAAAGAAAAATCAGCACTAAACATTTTTTAAGCTACCTATTTCTATGGATCTTCATGAGCATGTTCAAACTGAAAATCAATTGCTAGATTGCTACCTTTATGCCTCAGGAATTAGTTTGGAATAATGTAAAAAAAGTAAGATAAAAAAAGACCTAAAATTAAAACTCAGCTATTTTGCCCCTTTGTATGGTGATTTGTCCTTTCGATATGTATATGAAGATTTCAATCAGAAGTCTAAAATAATGTAAACCACACAAACAATAATAAATGAGTAAAATTAAACATTTGAATTTCACAAATTAACACAGATTTATACACATTAGATACCTGGCAAAAAAATAACTTATCTGGTAGATTTCATTCGATGTTTGAGTTGCTCTTCTTAGTTCGAACAGGTGATTTAAAGCACTACAAACATTTACAAAACAAATTACTTAAATCTATGCACATTAGATTGTCGAAATCAAAACAGAAATGAATGAAACCCCCAACGATTTACAGAATGAAACACAGATAATCAAACATATAAACAAGAATTAAACCAATAAAAAAATCAAGGATTTGATTTTCTTATGCTTACACAGAGATCCTTCCGTTTCGATTCGTACTCGGGTTTCCAGAATATTGCCGAACAGAACAATCGAGGAATGAAACAAATTGCGACCGATCTAAAACTACACTTTCAGATCGAGGAGTACTGCAAGGAGAAATGAAGAACCAATCACACAGTACGAAAGCGAGGACGATCCGACTGAGATTGGCGAGAACCAGCCTTCTATATGATGAAGCTCATTCAGAACTATATGATTAATGTTGTTTTCAACAGATGGTAGCCAGACTCAGCCGGATGTAGAGAAGACGAAAGAGACAGAGAAGAGAAGATAGAGACAAGAAGCAATTTAGATCTGCCGAGTCTTTCGTTCAATGTACTAGAGATTCCCACCACACCCGCCTTTTTTATTTTCTTTTTCATCTCCCATTCATCTGCTAATTACACGTAGAAGTAGATGAAGACATTATAATCTCTCTCTCTCTCTATTTTTAATATAATTTTATAATGTTGAGATGTATAATGATATCTTCCACATGTTAAAATTCAACTTTTAGAAAATGAGAACTTACTGTAAGGAATTGAGAATAAACTGCAAGCATTGTTGCAGAGAAAGATGGAAAATATATATTGCATATAAGTTGTGTATTGAAAGAAGAATACAATGTGTGTATATATATACAACTAAGCTAACGGTAGGAAAAGTGAGAAAGGTAAGAGAACCAATCATCTAGGAATTTACCTAAACTATGATCCTAAGAATATGGAAATAATTATGAATACATATATAAAATATTCTAGAAGATATATGTAATATAAATATAGATATTATTTTTCTTCACTCCCCCTCAAGCTCAAGGGTGGTACATGAGCTTAGAAGTAATGGCGTTGAATGTTTGAGGGAGGAGGCCCTTTGTGAAGATGTCGGCGAGTTGTTGATTAGATGGAACGAAAGTGGTGCGTAGTGTACCAGAAGAAATCTTTTCTCGAACGAAATGACAATCAATTTCGACATGCTTGGTTCGTTCATGGAAGACGGGATTGTTGGCAATGTGGAGAGATGTTTGATTGTCACAATGTAAATGTGCAGGATGAGCTGGTATATCTAGTTCGGATAAGAGTAGTTGGAGCCATGTAATTTCACTTGCTGCACTTGCCATGGCACGATATTCAGCTTCAGCAGAGGATCGAGAAACTGTGGTTTGCTTCTTTGTTCGCCAGGATAGTGGACTTGTTCCTAGAAAAGTACAATATCCTGTAGTTGAGCGTCGTGTGGTTGGACAAGAGGCCCAGTCAGCATCACAATATGCATGTAATTTTAAGGAGTTATTCGTGGATAATATGATACCACGAGCAGGAGACATTTTGAGATAACGCAGAACTCGAAAAGCAGCGTGCCAATGTGTGTCACGTGGTGCAGACATGAATTGAGAAAGAAGATTGACTGCATAAGTGATATCTGGTCGAGTGACCGTAAGGTAGAGCAGACGACCAATCAATCTTCTATATATGGAGGGGTCAGTAAGAGGTTCACTAGTATCAGGAGTGAGTTGGTGGTTAACCTCTATGGGAGTTGAGGCGGGTTTGCAAGCTAATAGGCCAGTATCGGAGAGAATCTCAAGAGTATACTTCCGTTGATTTAGGAAGATTCCAAGAGAGGATCGTGCAACTTCTATTCCAAGGAAGTATTTTAATGGACCCAAGTCTTTGAGCTGGAATTGTTGTGCAAGGTAACGTTTGAGGATAGTAATGATAGTCGGATCATTCCCTGTAATTACAATATCATCAACATAAACAAGCAATATGGTTAGAAAATGACCTCGTCTATAAGTGAACATGGAATAATTTGCTTTAGATTGTGTGAAGCCAGCATTAGTGAGGGATGTGGAGAAAGTTGTGAACTAAGATCGGGATGCTTGTTTAAGCCCATAAAGAGATTTGTGGAGACGACAAACGCGATTCTCCCCCTTTCGCCCAAAACCGGGAGGGACCTGCATATAGACTTCTTCATGAAGAGTGCCATGAAGAAAGGCATTTGAGACATCAAGTTGATGGGTAGCCCATCTTTGTGCAGCTGCGATGCTTAGAACTGTACGGACGGTGACAAGCTTAGTGACAGGGGCAAAGACATCAGTGAAGTCCAACCCTTCAAGTTGAGAGTATCCTTTGGCGACTAGGCGAGCTTTATCGCTCTACAGAACCATCAGGGTTATATTTAATACGGTAAACCCATCGACAACCAATAGCAGACTTACCAGGTGGTAGAGTGGTTAAAGACCAAGTGTGATTGGCTTCTAGAGCACGAATTTCTTCTTCCATGGCTTGTTGCCATTTAGGGTCTTTTTGTGCAGCTGAGAAGGAAGAGGGTTCGATTTCTTTAGAAATGTTGTTTATGAAGCAGATGTGGTCTTCAGTGTATGGTTTAAAGTTGAGAAAGTTGGAGATGGGATATTTTGTGGATGTGGTCATGTTGCATTGGTAGTCAGAGAGGTAACTAGGAGGCTTTCGTTGCCTTTGAGATCGTTGTTGGATAGGTTGCACTTGCGTGGGGATGGGTGGGTTAAGCATAGGAGAATTAACCTCAGGTGGAGGATTTTCTGGTAAGGTAGGTATGTGAGGAGTGGCATTAGAATTCTTAGGAATAGGTGAAGTAGTTGGAGTACCATGTGCTTCAATGGGTGGTATGGGGTTTTCAGGAAGAGGTTTGGTAATTGGGGTATTGTGTGTTTCAATGGATGGTATGGGTAATGGCAATATAGGGGTGAGTGTTGATTGATCAAATAAATTAGGATCATTTTTAAAAGGAAAAATAGTTTCATAGAAGACAACATCGCGACTTACCAAAATTTTCTGAGAGTCAAGATCATATAACCTGTAAGCTTTTTGACCTTGAGGGTAGCCAAGAAAAATGCAACGCTTGGCCCTAGGATTGAACTTATTAGGATGATATTGTATAGTAGAAGCATAACACAAGCAACCAAAAGTATGTAAAATGGTGAAATCAGGAGAACAACCAAAAAGAATTTCAAAAGGAGTTTTATTTTGTAAGTTTGGGGTAGGGGTACGGTTGATAATGTAAGTAGCGGTTAAAACACAATCACCCCAAAATTTGAGGGGTAGGCCCGCTTGGAAGCGTAAAGCACGTGCCACATTAAGGAGATGGCGATGCTTGCGTTCGACAACCCCATTTTGTTGAGGTGTCCCAGGACAACTAAGTTGTTGTAAAATACCATTTTGAAGTAAGATGTTTTGAAAATCAGTTTGTGTAAATTCAGAGCCATTGTCACAACGAAAAGTTTTAACACATGTGTTGAAATGGTTTTTTACATATGATAAAAAACGAACAAGTAATAAGAAAGCATCAGATTTATATTTCATTAAAAATGTCCATGTTGCCCTAGAAAAATCATCAACGATAGTTAAGAAATAATGATGTCCAGTACGAGTTGGAGTAGAATATTTACCCCAAATATCAACATGAATCAAATCAAAGCAAGCAGAAGTAGAAGTATGACTAATAGGAAAAGATAAACGTGTCTGTTTGGAAATGTGACAAACATCACAAGGATCTTGAAAATCAGAACAATCCAAAATAGAAATTAAGTGTTTAAAAACAGAATGTGACGGATGACCAAATCTAGCATGCCATGTATTAGGTGTAATGGTGAGTAATGCAGCGGGGTGTGGTGGAGAACTAAAAAAGTATAAACCATTGCGTTCATGGCCCCGACCAATCTCCGTCTTCGTTGAAAGGTCCTGAAACACACAATAATTAGGGAAAAAAATAACGGTACAATTGGAATCTTTAGCCAATTTTTGTACAGATAATAAGTTAAATTTAAAAGTCGGGACATATAAAACATCAAGTAAAACAACAGTCGAAGATAGGCGAGCATTACCAACACCATGGACCGGAACAGTAACACCATTTGGAACAGATATATTAGTCACCATATTATTAGGCATAGATAAATTATTTAAAATAGATGGGTTAAAACAGACATGATCAGTAGCACCTGTGCCAATGACCCATTCATTGGAAAAATTAAAAATAGAAGTTAGAGCAATAGACTTACCAACAAGGTTTGCTTTAGGCTCTTTTACCTCTCGTAAAAGTCGAAGTAATTGCTGAATGGAATCGGAAGAGATCTCTGACGAAGTTGATGGTGTCCCCATAGGTTGGCTATTTGTATTACCTTTTTTGTAAAATTTGTGTCCAGGGGGATATCCATGCAGCTTGTAACAAGATTGTTGTGTATGGCCAGGGATCCCACAGTGTGCACACTTTGTCCGAGATCGATTGTTGTTAGAACGAGAAGTGGAAGCAGATGTATGGATATTGCTCGCAGATGATAGGTTGGCAGCAGCAACAAATTGTGGATGTTGTGTGTTTGTAGCTTGAAGAGCAGAATGTTCTGTAGAATGTCCACCATTACCACTTTGTATACGTTGGGATTCATCCTGTAGCAGTAAGTTGTATGCATTTTTCACAGTGGGAAGAGTGTTGTTGAGCAGCAATTGACTCCGTGGTTGAGCAAAAGTTTCTCGAAGTCCCATGAGAAACTGCATCAACCGGCGGCGTTCAATTTGTGCAATGTAGTCATGTCGAGCAGAGCATGAACATTTAGGAGGAGGATCTAACAGATTTAATTCATTCCACAGGGCACTCAACTGATTGTGGTAATCTGCAATGGACGCATCTTTTTGGTAACAAGTTGCAATGCGTTTCTCAATATCATAGATACGAGGTCCATTTGATGTAAAGAAACGATCTTTTAAATCTGTCCAAACTGAGGCAGCATCTGGGGCATATAAAACTGTGTGTGAAAGGGATGGATGTATAGAATTAAGGAGCCAAGACATCACCATATTGTTTACGCGGTGCCAACGAGCATGATCGGGATGGGTAGAGTCTGGCATGGGAAGGGAGCCATCAACAAAACAGAATTTATTGCGGCCTTTCAATGCCATCGTGATTGCCCGAGCCCATGGATTGTAGTTTTCAATGCCGGTAAGAATGTTTCCAACGAGAGTGGCGCCTGTACCATCAGAAGAATGTAGATAATAGGGATTCTCCGCATCAAAAGGAACAACATGGTGTTGTGATTGCTTAGCAGAGGTTGAGTCTTCATGGGTATTAATGGTGGTGATGGGATTTGTGTGTTGGTTTGAAGAATCTGAAGGAGTGGTCATTGGCGTGAAGTGATGAGGCCAAAAGAGAGCAGCAGAAAAACAAATTATTAGGGAAAAAAAATTCTACTGATACCATGTAAGGAATTGAGAATAAACTGCAAGCATTGTTGCAGAGAAAGATGGAAAATATATATTGCATATAAGTTGTGTATTTAAAGAAGAATACAATGTGTGTATATATATACAACTAAGCTAACGGTAGGAAAAGTGAGAAAGGTAAGAGAACCAATCATCTAGGAATTTACCTAAACTATGATCCTAAGAATATGGAAATAATTATGAATACATATATAAAATATTCTAGAAGATATATGTAATATAAATATAGATATTATTTTTCTTCACTTACAATCTACAGCAAATATTTCATCTTAGGATCTTCATATCTCTTCTGAAATCAATCGTCAAAGCCATACAATTTTCAGACAAGATTTAAAATCTTACACTCCAACAAGTCTTATACTCCATGGTACGAGATGTTTTAATGTTGAAAAATAAAAATTATGCTGTCTAATTCTGATATAATTATATTTTTATAACATATATTTTCATACGCTATTAATTTGCTTATTGAGAATTTTTTATCCCCTATTATAATATAGATGATCCCCTATTGTAATTTGTTTAGTGTTAAATTTGAAAATTAATTATTATGCAATACAATTTGTATTCAGTTATTTCTCAAAAGCGAATTAGATTAATTGTAAAAATTAAACACAAAAAAAAAAAAAAGGAATACATATCTAAGTGTTAGCTTTAGATCCTTCCGTTTCGATGCTTAGTAGGGTTTCCATACTAAGATTGAATAAGACGCAGAGTAATAGAAAAATCAATGACGGATAGACGACCGATCAATGAGGAAAACCACAGATGCAAAACGAGAGAGACAAATCAATGAGAGATTTGGGAGAAATGAAGAACGAGAAGCACAAATCGAAGAGAGATAAATCAGAGATGAGAAATGAAAAAGGGGAAGCTAAGAACGAGAAGCAGAGATGTTCTATAGCTTTCTAAAGTAGAAATGTTATTTTATATATATATATATATATATATATATATATATATATATATATACTATACTATACTATACTATACTAATAAGAGTCCGAGAGAGTTAGGCATATAATGGGTAGAAAAAATGGCGGTCAAATTTTTTAATCAAATGAATGGCTCAGATTAATCAGATTTTAATTTTTCCTTAAGTTTTTCTAATTTATCCTTAATGAATATGATTATCCGTTAACTTTTTCGTTAAATATTATCTTTTCCGTTAGTTTCTATTAGTTCACCGTTAACTTACTCATTGATTTCAATAAGAAAGGTTTTAGGTTCGAACCCCATCCTAATTAAAATTGACATAATTAGTACTCTATTTTACTCTTATTAAATTAAATAATAATTTAGTAGCTAAAACAAAAAATAATACATATGCATTGCTTTAATTTAGAATTATGTGTCTACAATGTCTTTATTCAAAAAAAAAAAAAATTATTCGTAATCAATAAATTAAATAAGAAAAATAATTGTATTAGTTATATTGTCTTTATTTTTCTCCTATATAAAAATTCTTTACATTTAAATTCATCAATTAATTATATTCGCTACATTGTCTATTATCTTTTTTGTGCACTATTTTTTAAATTAAATATCAAAGTTATAATACAAAATAATGCTATATATTTATTTACCAAGTATTTTATTAATACCATAAAAAATTAAAAAAATATATAAATATAATTAATAAAGACAATCATATTAACTACTTGAAGAGAGTATTCAAATCACACAACAAATTGAAGTGAAAACTATCTCGCAATGTCCTTGGAATGAAACCAGTTTGAGCAGTACATTTAGCTATGGCATCTATTGAATAAATAGTAATACAAATAACCAAAAACATTTTAATAACAACAAAAATTTGATGACTTACAAACAAAGATTGTAGCTACCACCAAACAAATTTAAATTGATACAAGTCAACAGTGAACTACATAACTAAATTAAAGCTAGACAGGGGCATCAGAATCAGAATTCATCACATGCCATTTTCTGCAAATAATTGCTAAATATTGGATACAGAACTACATTAACTATAGCTCAGCCATAATGTGAGACATGGGCATCAGAATAAGATTTCATCATATGCCATTTCTTGCAAATAAATGGTTAGCATTGGCTAAATATATTAAAGTAAAATTCATATATAAGAAAGACAAATTAATTGCAAAGCTGGAATACTAAAAGACTTTTCTTGGTACCAGTCTAGATCGGACAATTTGACAGTGTTAGAGAGAAGGTCAGAAGAGATGAGAGAATGCTAGCTGATCGAGATGGCAAGAGGGGTCTGTGGTGGAATGTAAAAGACACAACAGATCTCACATTTGCGCACATCTCTAATGGGTCGGGTTTGGATCGATTTTCACTACACATTTGCACACGAAAAAACCAGATCTGTACTCAGATCTTACATGCACTGGATCGGTCTTCACTACACATACAATATATAAGAAATACATTAGCTTTTCGTAGAAATCTTAGAAATTAAATTCAGCAACGGTAGGAAATCGTAAAAACCCAAATCAAAATGGAAGAATCCACACTTAGCTTTTCGTAGATATCCCAGTCAGCACTTGGATTGTAGAAGCTCCGACCACTTAGAGATTTGTATCTTGAAAATTTCAGATCAATCAAACAAACATGATATGAAATTTATAACAACAATTTATAAAAGAATAAATCTCATATTTGTTTTTTTTTTATATATGAAATTTAATAACATTAATATTTTTAATAACATAACATGATTTTAATATTTTAAATATTGGTTTGTTCTGATTTTTTTTTTTAAAAAATTTAAACAGTTTGAGATGCTTAGGAGTCCCCAACCACTGTTTAACTTTGAAAGTTGGAACTCCAGTTATGCTACTGAGAAATATAGATCACTCCTTGGGACTGTGCAATGATACAAGGTTGATAGTAACACAGTTGAGAAATCATGTTATTGAGGCACAAATCCAATGTGGCAACAACGCAGGTACAAATGTGTTGATATCAAGGCTATTTTTTACTCCTTCAGACCCAAGATTTCTATTTAAATTTCAAAGAAAGTAGTTTTCACTTATGTTGTCATAAGCAATGACAATCAACAAAAGTCAATGTCAAACCCTTTCACAAGTTAGTTTGTTACTGAAAAAACAGTTTTTAACCATGACCAATTATATGTAACAGTTTCTAGGGTGAGTAATCTTGACAGTCTTAAGGTCTTAATTTGTGGGGAATCTAGACGTCTTTTAAACAAGACTCAAAATGTAGTTTACAAAGAAATCTTTAATAATGTGTAATTGTTTTGTTTATGGAACACTAATAAATTATATTTTGTCTATTTATTACATCTAAAACCTTATTGGTCTTATATCTTCGATATAACAATTTCTTATATATTACACCATAATATCATGGCCATGCATCGCACGGGGCAACTACTAGTTACTAATTAGAATAAGAAGATGATGATAATACATTATCTTAAAATATGAGAAACATATGGGATTCTAGTAACATATATAAATAGAAATTATTGAAAAATTCGATACAAACTTTTTTCTACAAATCAATGGGAGGAAAGAAATTAAAGGTATGAAATGCCCGCGGGAATCACGCAGACAAGCGCTCCCCGCAGCCCCATCCGTTGAGAAAGCCGCATCCGTACGTGTTAAGCTTTAGTCTCCCCACCGGCGGCGTGAGCCATCTGATCCAGATTGTCACCTTCCGCGGCGGAGTATTAATTCGCGCCACCAAACCTGTCGGACTGAAGAAAATCGTCGCAAGGTCTAGAGAGAGATATCACTATATCAGTAGCAGCTCACGCTTGATTTTGTTGATAGTGCCAAAAGCTGAAAAAGGCGTATCCTCAAAAAGGCCATGATTATACGAGCACCAGAGAAACCACAGAATTAAGCACGGAACCAGCTTTGCAAACCAGTCCTTCGCCGAACCTGGAGCCGCCAACAACCACCACGCATGGCACTCCGCCCTGATCGAGCTAGTGTTGGCAGACGTCAAGCCCAAAACGCCACCAAAATAATGCCAAACCTGTTGCACCATTTCGCATCTGTATAGGCAATGATCCAGTCCAGCCTTATACGAGCACCAGAGAAACTTTCGAAGGCATTCCATCACCCCAAGTGCATGAGGAAGACAGGCTGCGACCTGCCTTGGGCCTGAGCGCATCTTAGGCCGATGAGAAGGTGAAGTCGCCGTAGGGAGATAGCGACCAAACCATCGCATCCGAGCTTACCACTACGTTATCTTCAACAAAGTCATTGAACTGCTACATTCTTCTCCACTTGATCGAGGTAGCCACACGAACATTGCCCACTTGGTAGCTGGTGTGCATAAACTCACTCCACAAAGAACCTCCCTGCAACATGTTAAAATAAAGCTTTGCAGAAAAGGTTTGTTGAATTGAGGCTAGAGACCAGATCCCCAGACCGCCTTCATTTGTGGGGAAACAATTTTTTTTCCCACGATGCCCAATGACGCTTTGGTTTGCCATTTTCCGCTCTCCATAAATAATTAGCAAACTTGGACTCGAGGGCCTTCTCGGTCTGTCTTGGCAAGAGGATTGAAGCTGCAGTAAATAAAGGAATCATAGTTGAGACATGTCTGATGAGAGTCAGTCGTCTGCCCGGTGAAGACAACGGATCGCCTTGCTTGACACCCCTAGTTGGCTGGAAGAAACCACAACTGACACCATTTACTAAAACTGACAGCCTCGTCGCCCCCGAATTGTTCATGATAATATTGACAAACGTAGCCGGGAAACCAAGCTTGCTCAGCACTGCTCTAAGAAAAGGCCAGGATACCCTGTCAAAGGCCTTCATCATATCAAGTTTGACTATAAGATTTGAGCCACGACACTCTTTATGAATCTGCTGTAGAAGCTCGAACGCAAGGAGAACGTTGTCTTGAATACTCCGGCCTTCCACAAACCCTGCTTGTTCTCTAGAAATTAACTTCGAGAGTATCTGGCTCAAACGAGATGCCACCACACATGTGAAAACTTTACTGATGAGGGTACAGAGACATATAGGCCTGTCACCCCTTAACTATTTATCAAAGGATGAAAAAGCTCTCCAAAGTTCATAAAATGACAAATAACTTTTTATTTAAAATAATTCTAGCCGTGACCCTCCCACCAAGCTTGTAATGGGAATAGTAATTATTGTTGTGTGCACATCAATTTCAATTTCTAAACTTTTTTTTTTTATCTAGACCAAAATGTTACTGGAATAACTCCATTTACACATTTTTATGTTGAGATATGACTATAACACTAGGACCACGCTTAACAGCCACAACCATGTGATTTGCAGAGGAGACAATCACACCCATAATATAATGGTGGATGTTGTGGTACTTGGTTCTTGCCCCAAACTCCACTTTTTCCCGATGTCTTGATGGTTGTCCCTTCAAACATAGACACTCCAAGAAATTAAGTAAAATATATTCAAAAAAAGGTGAAATAATGTAGTTTCTTCACAGGATTGTAAATGCAGAACAAGCAAACACAATAACATTGATAATTAGAATATAATGAAGAAGATGATGATAATACATTATCTTAGAATTTGAGAAACATATGAGATTTTAGTAACATACATATATAGGAATTATTGAAAAAACTGATACAAACTTTTTTCTATAAAACAAATGGAGGAAAGGTACATAGCTTCTAACAGAGTGCTTCATCCAAATGGTCTGTAATGCTGCACTTATTATTCAATCCCAATTTGCACATAATCAATCTGTTTCAAGTATGTCAAATTCAGTCAAAAACTTGATCATCAATCCAATAAGCACGATACAAAATGAAAGGACGACTAACAATTTCATAGCTAGTTTAAAAGACACTCTTCACCAAAATAAAACAATACACTAGCAGAGTAATTATACCTCTTGTCACTCATTCATTGAATCATCTTGTGCGCTTAAGCTTTTGTTGTAGCCTGCCCAAATATATTTTCACTTTCACATAGAGCCAATCTTTGACATCATTCAAGAACTCATAGTAAGCAATTCTCCATGAGTGTTTGAGCACCAAAGTGACCATAATTCCCCAAAAGCTAAGAGAGAACCCCAACACCATTGATATGTAAAAACCCCTGTCTAGAAAAGTATCACTTTCTTGGTAGTCATCGATTTTATTATGTTGGGGAGGAACATTTGCCGAACATTTGGGAAGTGGGTCCCCACATAGTCCAATATTTCCCGCATAGGAAGAAACTTTGAAGCTTTGCAATTGAGTGCCCGTTGGGATTTTGCCCGACAAGAAGTTGTTCGACAAATCAAGAACATCAAGATAATTCAAACGAGCTAGGCCAACTGGAATTTCACCTGAGAGTTGATTCTGAGATAGATCAAGGACCTCTAAATTTTCCATCTGATAAATTGTCACAAAAATTTTTCCAGTCAAATGGTTATTTGAAAGGTTTAACAAAATTAATCCCTTGAGAGTAGAAAATTCCTCAGGAATATCTCCAATCAGTCGATTACTCGAAAGATCAATGGCTTTTAGGAGTCCCAATTGCTTCCTATATTCCCACTCATGGTTTTTCCACTGAATCAAAATATTGTCTATATAGTAACCATTTCTGACTAGAAATGATGAACTGTTCACCCATAGATTCTTCGTAGTACTTCCAACAGAACTGCTGTTTTGCATCAGATAAGTAAAATTGTTGAAGCACGGTGGAATTTTCCCTGTCAATTTGTTCTTAGAAAGATCCAAGATTTGTATGCTTTTGAGATGACAAATACTTGAAGGCACGTTCCCGTAGAACTTGTTATGTCGAAGGCTAACAATGAGCAAATTTTTCAAAGATCCCCCAATCCATGATGGAATTCTTCCTGTAAACTTATTTCCTCCAAAATCAACAACACTCATTGATGTGCAATTTTGAAGTGAGGAAGGCAATTCCCCAGTAAGATTGTTGTTTCTCAAGTGCAATGACTCAAGTTTTAATAGGGAGCCTAAAGAGTGTGGAACCTTCCCCGAGAAACAGTTATTTGCAAGGTTGAGAATAGACAATTCAAAAACAAAATTCTTATTCCAACAATCAGGAATTTCACCAGAGAGTTGATTATATGAAAGATCAATAGAAGAAATAGCCGAGCTAATTGAGCATAAGAAGGAAATTGACCCAACAAACTTATTATTTGAGAGATGAAGTAAAGAAGCTGCTTGAAGATTTATGAGTATCGGACCCCAAAAGTTATTAGAACCCAAATCAACGATAGTAGGTAAGAAGTGCGGCAATCTCCCTCCAATGTTGTTGTATGACAAATTCAAGGAGTAATAACTCTGGGACATGTTCCAAAACCAATTGGGTATTATATCGGAAATACCACCAAACGAAATATCAATTTCTAATAATTTGCTCTGAGTTTGTAACCATTTTGGAAATTGAGGCCCTACTTTGCACTTTGCCAAAAATAAAAATCTGAGCTGAAAAGCAGGAATCCAATTATTGCTCAAGTTGAAAGACAAGGCTACATTATTGGATAAATCCAAGAATTGAAGGTTGGCAAGTTTTGAGAAGTGGGCTTCAGTTACATCTCCTTCTAACAGGTTTGATGAGGCATGCAATTCTTCAAGCTTTGATAGCTTCCCTATAGTCTCTGGTAAGCCCCCTTGTAATTGATTTTCAGAAACATATATCACTCTTAAGGACAAAGCATGTGATAGATCAGGAATTTGTCCTGTAATTTGATTTCCAGAGACATATAACACTCTTAAGGACAAAGCATGTGATAGATCAGGAATTTGTCCTGTAATTTGATTTCCATAGAGATGTAACTCTCTTAAGGACAAAGTATGTGATAGATCAGGAATTTGTCCTGTAATTTGATTTCCATAGAGATATAACTCTCTTAAGGACAAAGCATGTGATAGATCAGGAATTTGTCCTGTAATTTGATTTTCTGAAAGATCAAGCACTCTTAAGGACGAAGCATGTGATAGATCTGGAATTTGTCCTGTAATTTGATTGTTCGACAAATCTAAATATTCAAGACCTGAAGGTAGTCGGAAGTTTGATCCATTTAGCTGGTTATTATTTGCGCGCAATTCTCTCAAAGATGTAAATCTGGTGCTGAGATCTGCAGGGAGTTCACCAGTGAATTCACTCTCAATAAGTCTAAGATTTGTAGAGACTTGTCTGCATCCTTGAGCAACTTTTGGAAAAGTTCAGCAATTGACTCATTTAATTGATGATTATGACGCAAAGATAACATTCGAAGATGAGTTAAATTCCAAAAAGATTTTGAAATTCCAGCATCCTCCGTGATAATAGAATCAAGATAAAGGTTCTCAAGAATTTCCATGTCTCCAAATGCATGATCAAAGTAATTTCCTGAGAGGTCGATGGTAGCGAGTTTTTTGCTTGCATTGCGCAACAAGTGGAATACCGAAGAAGTGTTGATATAGTTGTAAGAAAAATCAACAACAGAAAGAAATGGAGAAGAAGAATTCAGCGAGAAAGGCAAAGACCCATGGAGTTCGCAGTGTTGCAACTGTAGTTCCTCAAGGAAAGGAGGGAGGGTGACTCTGGATTTTGATGACTCAATTAAATCAATGTCAACATCTCTTAGATAAATAGATCTTAGAGAGGAAAGATGAGAGAGCCACTCAAGATTTTCCATTTTCAAATTATAATAATATTCAGAAATATTTAGAACTCGAAGATTTGTAAGGTTCCCTAGTTGTGGAGGAATTGTACCACTGAACTCAGCATCCATAAGACTCAAGACACGTAATCTCTTAAAAGAACCAATGAATTCGGGGATACGACTCCCTTGAAAATCATTGTAACTAAGGTCCAGATAATTCAAATGCTTCAGTTCAAGTAGAGATGGACTAAACTTGAGGACACTCAGATATGAATTCAGATTATGGGCATTGAGATCAAGCATGGTTACATGACCGGTGTTGTTGTTGCAGTGAACACCCAACCAATTACAACATTCATCATCACTTCCCCAAGAAGACAGAACTCCATGGTAATCCACAAGGCCTTGTTTGAAATCCAGAAGAGCAAGTCTCTCCCTCTCAGTACACCTTATCATGTTTTTGGCTGCAACTCTTTGTGTGAAAGCATAAGAAGAAGAAGAAGAAGAAGACAAGCAAACAAAAACGAAAAGGTAAAGAAAGGGGGAAAGTAGCGTAGTAGTAGTAAACAACATTCTGATAGCAGCACAATAAGGTTGTAAGAATATTGTTTTTGAGAGCATGATGGATGAATAGATGTTTTATGAAATCTTGCAATGGGAGGGAGAACTGAACAACCAAACTAACTCTAATATATATACTGTAATTTCGACAGCATTTTGTTCGATTCAAGGACACCTCATTAACGAAAATGAGTGCAGGGCAGTCAGGATTTGTTAGTGTAGGGGGCAATCACAATTTGAAGGAGAATAATAAAACATATTAATATTTATTTAACATATTTCAAAATATATTATTATATTACAAATCTACTAAAATTTGGAATGCTTTCAATGACTCAATACTCGTAAATGAATTTACTTGAGATGTTGAATTTTCAGAATTCTTTCTTTTAAAGAAAAGATCAATTCTTTGTGTCTTTTTCATTTCAACTCAAACTTTCGATGTTCACAGTGTTAATTTTTTTGACAAATCAATTGAATTAACTAAAACTGAAAAAAAAAAAAAAAGAATAAATAGACAAAGATTAAAGTAGTAGAAATTTAAAGATTTTGGTAGCAAAATGATAATTTATTATTATAATAAACACAATTGAAATGTATTTCATTTGCAAATTAAAAAAGGTAAATATTAAAGTAGTAGAAATTTAAAGATTTTGATAGCAAAATGACAATTTATTATTATAATAAACACAATTGCAATGTATTTCATTTATAAATTAAAAAAAAAAAAAAAAAAAAAAAAAACTAACTAGATAGCAAATTACCAATCCACTAAATTATCCTAGAAGCTTGCTTGGAGGGAGGGGAGGGGAACAAAATAACAAATATTTAGTGAGGAGGGCCAAAGAAAAAAGACTACAATACTAATAAAAAAATTGGTTGGGGGGCCAAGCCCCCCTGCAACTTCCATGTGGCTCCGCCATGGATTTATAAATTAATTACTAGTTCTCTATGTTTAATTTAATACAATTTTTATTTGAATTTAATTAATAAAATAGTTTTTAATATTTTAAAAATTAAATAAGTCTACATCCCCAAATCTTGAATTATTTTTTTTTTTAATTTTTAATAATGATGTTTTAAGAGTTTGGTTAGAGTTGGTGGCCGAAACTAGTGGAGTGTTTGGAAATTAGAAAAATTCTGAAAAAGAGGATGAACACATACTATAGATAAATAGTGGACAAAGACTTGACTCAATAATTCTTTTTGTTTTTTTTTTTTAAATTTAATCGCAAGATTAATCATTAAAGCAAAATTGGATACAATGTATCATATATAATTTATTATCAAACTTTATTCTTCTATGCATACACTAGAAAATTTCATTAAGACGTTCAAATTAAAAATCCTAGAAGAAAACGAAAAATGGAAAATGAAAATAAAATTTAAAAGTCCTTGTTAAAATTTTTTGAGTATTGTCGGTAGAGCAACCTTTGCTCACCACACACAAGGAGCCCCCCTCACTTAGAAAGGTGACTCCCACATTGCCGCTAGTGAAATTTGATCCCAGGTAATTCTTCCAAACTTTCACCTCTATAACCAATTGACTACCCAGGCTATATGTAATTTTTCAAATTTATGCATGTTGACTAACATTTACAAATTAAATAGTAGAAAAATTTCTTCCATTTTTCTTTTGAAAGAAATTAAACTAACAAAATGGTGTAAAGACTTTATTAAAAATAAATTAAACTTACAAAATGGTGTAAACACTTTACTAAAGAGAAATTAAACTTACAAAATAGTGTAAAGACTTGACTTGATGATGTATTTAGGTCGAAGACTTTAATTTGACTTTAACTTTGATTTAAATTATGGAAATTTATGAAACAAAAATGAGAAAATATCAATTTTGGTCGTGACACGAGTATTAGTAAAATGACAATTTTAGTTCACATGTTTAATTCTTACCAATTTTCATCCATAACTATTGTTTTAGTACCATTTTTTTTCCACGATTATGGTTTTAGTGTCAAAATTCATCACGCATGTCACCCATTCATTTAAGATATGTCAAAATCTAAAATTTTAAAGGTATTTTCGTCATTTTCAACTTAAGATCCCAATTTGAGCATTGATAAAGATATTTAAGCTCTAAAATCGATCCCAATTCGTAATTTTCTTCCCCATCCTACCTTAATTTGAGGAGGATAATTGCCAATTGGGATGAATCTTAGGGCTTAAATCCCTTTATCATGCTCAAATTGGGATATTTATTACAAATTATTTTAAAAAATGACAATTCACCATCCACGTAAGCAGACAACATGAAGAAATGAGTGTTAATCTCCTATCAGGTGAAATTGTATATATTTGGGATGTTCAGTGGCCTAATAATATTTTTTTTTTCGTTCAGTCGCCTAATTGTACTTTCAAGTTACGTTGACCAATTTAGACCTTATTCCTGTAATGAAATTAGTTGTATAAAATTTAGAAGTAAAAAAAAAAAAAATCATTAAAGTGGAGAATTTGTCTTGGTATTTTTAGCAATAATATTATAAGAGTTGGTTTGTTGGAGTGGACGTCGGGAATAAAGGAGTAGGGAGTGTTTGTAAATTAAGAAATTTTATGGAAGGCAAATGAGCACGATAATGAATGACAGATGAGTGGCAGGCAAAGACTTGACTTAAATCATTATGGACTAATTTTACATGAATATGCTTTCTTTTTTTTTTTTTTTTGGTTGAAAAAATATATCGTAAACTTATTTAATTTTAAACATGCGTAAATAAACCAAAAAAAAATAAAAAAAATACAGTATTGCAAGACAAAAATTTGGTGGGTCAACCCCTAACTTCCCCACTGATGCAGAAATGGGATATGTGAAAGTTATATTCAAAGCATAATACTGAAAGTTATATTCAAAGCATAATACTGTATTATTACAGAGAAAATTCTATTTTTTTTTTTTGAAGAAGAGAAAATTATATTACAAAGAAAATTCTATTTTTTATTCATCAATTATTGTGCATTGTCAGATTTAGTCATGTTTTTTTTTTTTTTAATTTTATCACATTTAATAATGATGGGCAATATACCTCACTTACCTTGAATTGCATTCGGTAACCGATGGCAAGATTTCTATCGATCAAATCCGAGCGGAATTAATACGATCTGATTGACCCCAGACTCGCATTAGATAGGGAAGTTTACAATTTCGATCGGGAAAAGAGAAATAAGCGTCTGTAGGCCGTACAGTGACAATAATTCAAGCAGAAATTAAAGCATTGTCACATCATATACATGTGGATTATATTGTCAGCTTCGATCGTATGGAAACCTCGCCGTAGAAGAATAGCCGTGGAATTCACTTTGGCACGTGGCAAACATGCCGAAAGTCCGGCATGTGCCTCCATCTTTGCTTATATAAGGCACATTTAATGCTCTTGAGGGGAGATTTTTGGAACGCTTTATTCTAACATACAAACTTATGCTCGAAACTTTCCGATTAGACACAACCGTTTGACCATAAAACTGTATATTAGGTATGAGTAACCCGATACACGTAATGTATCAAATAAAATGATTTATTAATATGAAATTTCATCATTCAATTAAAGGGATTTAATTATAAGAATGGGAGAAAAATTACATATTGAAGTAAGTGACTTGAATGAATGATAAAATTACATGTTAGTCATCTTTATTAAGCGGATAGAGGTCAACGATGTAATGAAACAAAATTAAAAGAATAAAGCTAAGTATGATGATGCCACAATAGTCGGAGATTAAAAGTAAAATTTACTGTAATACGGAGTATTAAATATTTAAAAGAATAGTATATTGGAGTTCAACCTCTAAGCTAAGCCTCCCTCCACCCAACAATCATTTTCTAATATGATCCTTTTTACAGTCAACATTCAACTTTGGAGTTAATTTGTAGAAATTAGGATGGAGAAAATAATTCTCCACCAACATTTTATTTTATTTTTATTTTAAATTTTGGGGTCAAAAAATCACTTGTTGCAACAATGAAAACAATAGTAAGAACCTTGCGGTCCATTGGTACTAGGTTGCTCCCTTATGTGGGAAGTGATAGGTTCAAACCTTAATTAATGCAAGTAGTGTGTATATGTAGGGTATCCCCTTCTTGTTAATATTAACAATGTAAAATTAAAGAAAGAGTTTTCAATGCTGAGAAACTTGTACACCAAATTAAAGTTTGAGTGTCATTTTAAGTTCTTGATACCGGCTTAATTAAGGACTAACAATAGTAGTAATTTCTCTGAAATTTATTATATATAATATAACAGTACAATTTTACAAATGTTATGTTAATGGACAAAAGAATGAGATAAAATTGGATGCAATATGTTTGGTTTAAAGTATATAAATAAAGTAATAATGAGTATGGTCATCATCCTTTGGTTGAGATTATGTGAATTTAAAAATATTTAAGTTAGAAAATTACAAAAGTTTGTACGAAGATGGGATATAATATAACACTAGTTTAACATCAAACATGAGTTGATGAATGATAATAAACATGTTAAACTAGAAAAATAGTTTGTAACTAAATTGAGATTTTAGGTGAGTTTGTGGGGAGGGAATGCCGTACAAAATATTGTATTCAAGTTTAAGCGACATGCAGGTAGTGAATAGATGAATATAATAGGAGTTAATACTCAAAATCATCCTCGACTATAGTGATTTTTCTCAATTTCGTCCTAAGCGACTTTGGTGACCTAATATCGTCCCAGACTTTTGTGTTTCGCTCAATTTAGTCCCAGACTTTTGTGTTTCGCTCAATTTAGTCCCAGACTTTTGTGTTTTTGCTCAATTTAGTCCCTCATTTGTTATTCTGTCCATTTGATGTTAAATAAATAGACAATTCAGTAATTTTAATATTGGCATCTCTTTACTCATAGACATGTGAACTGCGAAATCCTTTTTTTTTTTTTTTACGAATTACTCCCAGAATTACTCCTAAAACTGCGAATATAAAATTTGATTTGCAGGTCCGGGAGTAATTCTGGGTGTAATTCGTACAAGAAAGAGGAATTTCGCACTTCACAAGTTGAAAGTAAAGAGAGATCAATATTGACATTACTAAATTGTCCCTTAATTTAACACCAATTTAACGGATCGGAATAACAAATGGAGGACTAAATTGAGCGAAACACAAAAGTTTGGGACGATATTAGGTCACCAAAGTCATTTAGGACGAAATTGAGAAAAACCACTATAGTCGAGGACGATTTTGGGTATTAACTCAATATAATAGTCAAGCTATATATGTTAAGAGTCAATACCCAAAATCGTCCTCAACTATAGTGATTTTTCTCAATTTCATCCTAAACGACTTTGGTGACCTAATATCGTCCCAGACTTTTGTGTTTTGCTCAATTTAGTCCCAGATTTTTGTGTTTTTGCTCAATTTAGCCCCTCATTTGTTATTCTATCCATTTGGTGTTAAATAAATAGACAATTCAATAATTTTAATATTGGCATCTCTTTACTCATAGACATGTGAACTGCGAAATCCTTTTTTTTTTTTACGAATTACTCTAGAATTACTCCTAAAACTGCGAATATAAAATTTGATTTGCAGGTTCGGGAGTAAATCTGAGTGTAATTCGTACAAGAAAGAGGAATTTCGCACTTCACAAATTGAAAGTAAAGAGAGATCAATATTGACATTACTAAATTGTCCCTTAATTTAACACAAATTTGACGGAATAACAAATGGAGGACTAAATTGAGCAAAACATAGAAGTCTGGGACGATATTAGGTCACCAAAGTCGTTTAGGACGAAATTGAGAAAAACCACTATAGTCGAGGACGATTTTGGGTATTAACTCTATATGTTAATCACATGGAAGGTAATTCTCATAAATGGGCATAGAGATATATATCATGAGAATGTTTAAGCAACAAGTAAACAAATATAATAATAATCAAAGCTAAAAGTGAGATTTATACTAATTCGAAACTTGTATAGACACTATGGGATATTTTAGGATTGAGGATCATATAAATAACCTACGTAGTTACGTTGTGGCTAAGAGAGATGCTGCAATTGTGCCAAGGCTACTTTCATAGTTATTGGTCTAATGGCTAGCTAACCAAGTAGTTCTGGTCGAACTCCAATTTTATGGTAGTTCATTCATAATTTGGATAATTTGTTGAATACATAGAATATAGGTATCCTCGATCTCTTCCTTTTTCAAGACAAGTTTAATGATGTGAGTAATGTGACTTAGGTGAGACACATTCACTCATAATATTCACACAATATAATCCATGGATACTTAAAGTATACCTATGGTTAGGTTACATTATAGTTTATGATGAGAATGCTAAACACATATATAATTCATAATAGGGGTTCCTTTATGCAAGCAATCTAATCAAAACACCTAGAGGGAAGAGCAAGTTTAATCTATGAAACATAAGGATAATGAAAGCCATAAAAGAAATAACAAGAATTAAATGAACTGAAGGTAGTACTTGAATTTAATTTGTAAAAATTTGAAGATTACAATATCGAAACGATATATTTAGGAAATGAAGATTAGAAGTGCTAATCTAGACCTATTCTTAGTAGGGAGAAGTCAGAGGATGAAAAATGCTCTCCAAAGTATATTCAAAGATTCATAAAAGGGAAAATGACACTTTTTCCCCCTGAGTTATATACTTATAGTACTTTTCCCCCCTGAATTATTTAAGTGGCTCTTTTTCCCCCTGAAATGTTAAATGGACATATTTACCCTTAAAATAAATATTTAAAATAAATAATTCATTTATTTTTATTCTCCAACAAATTATTACTATAATTTGGTTCAAACCGAATAGATACTATAGCAACCAAACCAAAATATTCCAATTACAATTTATAATCAAAACGCGATATTTAGAGTTTATTAAAATCACGAACTGGAATGGCCGGTTCATGTTCCGAACTGAAAAAATAAAATACATTTATTGTTGAATTTATACTATTTTAAAATAAAGACAGTTCAAAATCGCGAATCGGATCCGGAACCGCCGGTTCATGGTTCATGATCCAATTTTTTTTTTTTTAATTCTTAAATTTAATAAATTGAAATCCAAATATTGGGTTCCAGATCTGAATCATAACCGAAAACTTTTAATTCGATTGCTATAGTGTCTGGTTCAGTTCGAACCGAACCGTGGTAATCGCTACATATACGCAATAATTAGTTGGAGAAGTAAAATAAATAAAATGTTTACTTTAAGGGTAGAAATGTCATTTTAATATATTAGGGGGAAAAACCACCACTTTTAAAATAATTGAGGGGACTAATGTGCTTACATAAATAATTGAGGGGGAAAAAGTGCTATAAATATATAAGTTAGGGGGGAAAAGTGCCATTTTCCCTTCATAAAATGATAAAGAGTTAATACCCAAAATCGTCATCGACTATAGTGGTTTTTCTCAATTTCGTCCTAAACGACTTTGGTGACCTAATACCGTCCCAGACTTTTGTGTTTCGCTCAATTTAATCCTCCATTTGTTATTCCGTCAAATTGATGTTAAATTTAGGGACAATTCAGTAATGTCAGTATTGATCTCTCTTTACTTTCAACTTGTGAAGTGCGAAATTCCTCTTTCTTGTACGAATTACACCCAGAATTACTCCCGGACATGCAAATCAAATTTTATATTCGCAGTTTTAGGAGTAATTCTGGGACTAATTCGTAAAAAAAAAAAGGATTTCGCAGTTAACATGTCTATGAGTAAAGAGATGCCAATATTAAAATTACTTAATTGTCTATTTATTTAACACCAAATGGATAGAATAACAAATGAGGGACTAAATTGAGCAAAAACACAAAAGTATGGGACGAAATTGAGCGAAACACAAAAGTCTGGGACGATATTAGGTCACCAAAGTCGTTTAGGACGAAATTGAGAAAAACCACTATAGTCGAGGACGATTTTGGGTATTAACTCAAATGATAAATAACTTTTTATTTAAACTAAATCTAGACGTGACCACAACTTCCTACCAGGCTTAGCTTGTAGTGGGAAGAGTAGTTGTTCTTTGCCCATCAATTTCAATTTTCAAACTATTTTTGATTCAATTAACATCTGAATAATGATTTATAGTTTACTTGGTTGTTGTAGTTCTCTTAAGTTTTATTTCCAATGCTATTGGAATATCTCAAATTTGAACATTTTTATACTGAGATATGACCAAAACACTGCGAACAAACTTAATAACCACGACCTCGTGGTTTGCAAAGGTGGTGACCACAATTGCATGCATCACTACTACATAATTGGACAAAAATATTAGACTATGAGCATCTATTAATTGGTAAATAGATGTTAAAACACGCGCGGTAGCAGTTTTGTAATATTTTAAACAACAACTAGCATCTATTGTAAAATAGAACAGATGTTAAATGTGTAATTTTAATAAATCTGACCCTTTTGCGTCTGTTCGCGTCTGTCTTGAAGTCAACCGGCGCTAAGGGCAGTCAATTTTAATAAATTCGTTTTGTTAAAACAAAAAAAAAAAAAAAAAAAAAGTAAATAAAAAAAAATATAGAGTCCACAATCTCTGCTCCAGAGATCCACAGATCTGCGAGACATCAGTGACCATCTAGCGGCGACAACCATTGTCTTCTCCACAGATCTACAAGAACCAACCTTCAATTCCACAGATCTACGAAACCATCTCCGGGCGACAACCACACACCGTCAGCGACGAGCGCGAGAACAACGGCGTCAAGCTTCAGCTTTGGCTTCTAGCACTGTCAACGGCGACCTTCGGCTTCAACGCCGTCAGGATCAGCGGCGAGACCAACGGCGACTGGTGGCGAGCTTCTGCGTGTTTTTTTCGACGGCGAGCCAGCGACGCAGCCACTCGCCCAGGAGTCCCAGCGACGGAGACACAGCTCTGCGACGCAGCCACTCTGATCTCCGGCAACCATTCCGATCGTTGCACTGCTCGCAGGTAATTTATTTTCTTATCTTTAATTTAAATAATTTTTTTAATTGTTGCCTTTTTTTGTTTCAGTGTATATATAATATATACTGTATTGTATATTAGTATATTACTGTGTGTATTTTTTTTCTAGGGAATTGATTTTTGGAGTGTAGTGTATATCGGTATATTTGTATACCACTATCAGAATTGATTTTTTCAGTGTAGTGTATATCAACAACCTGCAGGTAGCCAATTTTGATCAATTTTGGGTAAGCAAAGGTATACTCTCAATTCTTGATTTCCTAATAGTGCATGCATTATGTTCTTGGTATATCTGTTTGTGGGATACTGTGAAAGGTCTGTGTTTTCTTACCTTTGGGCATTTCTTTCTGTTGTTTAGTGAGCTATACATAGTCACCACTAGTGTCCATGTTAATTATTTTTCATTTGTTTTTACTGCTATTGCCAATGCCTTAATGAGGCATTTTTTCAAGGGAAGGGAAACACCTTGTGTCCTTGTTGGTTAGAAGCTCCTTTAGATGCATGTATCTACATTCCCTATCCTTTTCTGCTTAGTTAATCTTATAATCTAATTACAGAAAGTAAATTGCTCACTCAAGACATGTTGAAACCACACTTACTTTGATGGCCGAGGCTATTGTGTTTGAATTTTCTTAAACTCTAAGAGATAAGTGTGGATAACGACGACTAAGAATTTGAATCACATACTGGTTTTTAACAGATCTGGAGCTTGATTCATATAGATTTGACAGGCATGATTACTAAGAAGTTTTCACCTATAAATTGAGACCATTCACTCTTATATGCAAGCTTGACTGATCTAGTTCATGTGATTACATTTCAAGTATTATTCATGACATTTACATATCATTTCTTAACAAAAGTTTTATGTGTTATACTTTGTCATCATGTGGGATTAATGCATGTCTAAATTCTTTTTATTTGTAAAACCTTAATTATTTTGGTTAATTTCTAAATGTGAAGCCATATGCATTTCCAAGTTTTTGGTAGTCATCATTTTCTATGATCTGTTTGTCTTGTCAGATATGGTTTGCCTCCAGGTCACAGTTTGGAAAACTACGAAAGAGCTTCAAAAGAATATTTCAACTGCCACATTCTCTAGCAATCCATGCAGGTAGACTTTATTTGATAAATTGTGTTTAATGGCTGTTTTTCTATGTTGAAACGCTGTTTTGATTTGGGTGGATGCAGTACGTGGAATTTTTTAAAGTTCTGGGAGCTATTTTTGTGCTTGATAATAAATTATAATCACACATGTGATCTGGATTATATTACTGTATATATACATTGTGGACATGGATCTGTCTAAGGTGATGGTCTTCTGAGTGCATTTGATCGAGCTTGTTGTGTGCATGAAACTGGTGCTGTTTAAGTTAGTAGATTGAGGTGAGAGCTGATTTATCTGGTTTTCTATGTGCAGGGAGATAGGATCATCAGGAGTTCGCTATATTTCAACTCAAGTTGGTCATTTTGATCTTTAATTTTCTTTTGATTCATTTGTCAACTTGTATGCTTAATTGTTTGACAGTATTTCTGTATGCATTTTCTGGAAGAACTATTTATATTGGTGAATGGATTGGTGCAGTGAGAAACCGCATGAAGAGTGTTAGAAACATTCAAAAAATTACTTAAGGCCATGAAGATGGTTGCAGCTTCCAAGCTCTGAGCAATTCAAACTAGGGCTGAAAATTCACGTGGTCTCTCGCAGCCGTTCACTGCTTTCCTTGGTGACACTCCAAGTAAGTCTAAATTAAATTTTCAGTATCTATGCAATTTGAACCCTTATTTAAGGTGGAATTTATAAATTGGTTTTATCTGCACTCTCTCTCGTCACATTGGTATAGAATCAATTGAATAAGTATTGTTTTTCCTTTAGATGTATTTGTCTAGAACTCCTAGGGAAGATGAATCTGTGTCAAGGAAACGTAGGGTCCTGAGAATGGGTGTGTGATGAAATATTGTCCATTGCATTCTTTTACCTTTTCTGTAAAGCTGCTGCAGTGACAAGGCATGATGATCTTGTTGGGTTATACTGATTCTCATTTTACCTTTTGAGCTCTTATTAGGGTGCTTATGCGTTCTTTTGGATATGTGCATATTTGTTAAATGTTTGGCTAGCTTCTGTTTTCCTCTGTTTTCTGGTATCCTATTAGGTGTCGTTGTGAAGAAGAATGTCATTGTGACTATTTCTTCAGACAAAGGTCTTTGTGGTGGAGTTAATTCTACAGACAAAGGTCATTGCAGCTTCAAACAAGTTAGCTTCAACGGTTGCAAGTTGAGTAGTTTCAAACAAGTTTGTTGACCGAATATTTTGATCATTAATATGTATTTTGTGGATTGTATTGTAATTTAGATTATGTTGTGGGTTGCGTTATATTGTGAATATTATTTTATTTGTGGATGATTTAATTTGATTATGTTGAATAATATTGCTGAAAATTACAGTGGAAAAAAAATTATTTTTTTTAAATAAGCCTACTATAGGCGTCGGTTGTAAGTAAAGAACAGACGCCTATAAACGACAGACGCTAAAGTAAAGACTATTAGCGTCTGGTTCATAGGCGCCTGTCGTACAACAGATGCCTATTGGTTCTTACAACAGACGCTAATGAGCAGTGCATGGTGGAAGCTAGGGAACCTGGTTCTTGAATTGCCCCAAACTCCTTTTCTCCGATGCCTTAAAGATTGCCTCTTATATCATAGGCACTCTAAAAAATTAAGAAAAGAGTTAATACCATCTAGGGTCCTCCGAGTATAGTGATTTTGCCACGTTTAGTCCTAAACTTTCAAATTACCACCTATGGTCCTTCGACTTTCAAATTTTTACCATCCGTGGTCCAAGTTAACCATACAAGGTCCTTCAACTATCAAATTTTCACCACCCATGGTCCTTATAGGAGGACCGCGACTGGTTAAATTTTAAAAGTCGAAGGACCATAGGTGGTTAACTTGGACTATGGATGGTAACAATTTGAAAGTCGAAGGACCATAGATGGTAATTTGAAAGTTTAGGACTAAACGTGGCAAAACCACTATACTCGGAGGACCCTAGATGGTATTAACTCATTAAGAAAAACATATTTGAAAATAGGTGAAATAATGTAGTTTCTTCACAGAATTGTAAATGCAGAACAATCAAACACAATAACATTAGTATGTACTAAGAATGAAGAAGATGATGATAATACATTATCTTAGAATATGAGAAACATATGGGATTCTAATACATATATACATAGAAATTATTGAAAAATCAGATACAAACTTGTTTCTACAAAACAACGGGAGGAAAGAAAGGTACATAGCTTCAAACAGAATGCTCCATCCAAATGGTGTGTGATGTTGCACATATTATTCATTCCCAGTTTGCACATAATCAATCTGTTTCAAGTATGTCAAATCCAGGCAAAAACTTGATTATCAATTCAATAATCACGACACAAAATGAAAGGGCAAGTTTAACAATTTCATAGTTTAAAAGACACACATTCACCAAAATAAAATAAAATACTAGCGGAGTAATTATACCTCTTGTCACTCATTAATTGAATCATCTTGTGCGCCTAAGCTTTTGTTGTAGCCTGCCCAAATATATTTTCACTTTCACGTAGAGCCAATCTTTGACATCATTCAAGAACTCATAGTAGGCAGTTTTCCATGAGTTTTTGAGCACCAAAGTGACCACAATTCCCCAAAAGCTAAGAGAGAATCCCAACACCATCGATATGTAAAACCCCCTGTCTAGAAAAGTATCACTTTCTTGGTAGTCATTGATTTTATTATGTTGGGGAGGAACATTTGCCGAACATTTGGGAAGTGGGTCCCCACATAGTCCAATATTTCCCGCATAGGAAGAAACATTGAAGCTTTGCAATTGAGTGCCGGTTGGGATTTTGCCCGACAAGAAGTTGTTCGACAAATCAAGAACATCAAGATAATTCAAACGAGCTAGGCCAACTGGAATTTCACCTGAGAGTTGATTCTGAGATAAATCAAGGACCTCTAAATTTTCCATCTGATAAATTGTCACAAAGATTTTCCCCGTCAAATGATTATTTGAGAGGTTTAACAAAATTAATCCCTTGAGAGTATAAAGTTCTTCAGGAACATCTCCAATCAATCGATTGCTCGAAAGATCAATAACTTTTAAGAGTCCCAATTGCTTCCTATATTCCCACTCTTGGTTTTTCCACTGAATCAAAATATTGTCTATATAGTAATCATTTCCTCCTTGAAATGATGTACTGTTCAACAATAGCTTTTGCATAGTACTCCCAACAGAACTGCTGGCTTGCATCAAATAAGTAAAATTGTTGAAGCACAGTGGAATTTTCTCAGTCAATTTGTTTTTAGAAAGATCCAAGATGTGTATGCTTTTGAGATGGCAAATACTTGAAGGCACTTTCCCGTAGAACTTGTTATGTCGAAGGCTAACAATGAGCAAATTTTTCAAAGATCCCCCAATCCATGATGGAATTCTTCCTGTAAACTTATTTCCTCCAAAATCAACAACACTCAATGATGTGCAATTTTGAAGTGAGGAAGGCAATTCCCCAATAAGGTTGTTGTTTCGCAAGTGCAATGACTCAAGTAGTAATAGGGAGCCTAAAGAGTGTGGAATCTTCCCTGAGAAACGATTATTTGCAAGGTTGAGAACAGACAAATCAAAAACAAAACTCTTATTCCAACAATCAGGAATCTCACCAGAGAGTTGATTATATGAAAGATCAATAGAAGTAGCTGAGCTAATTGAGCATAAGAAGGAAATTGACCCAACAAACTTATTATTTGAGAGATGAAGTATTGAAGCTTCTTGAGGATTTATGAGTATCGGACCCCAAAATATATTTGAACTCAAATCAATGATAGGAGGTAAGAAATGCGGCAATCTCCCACCAATGTTGTTGTATGACAAATTCAAGGACCGGTAACTCTTGGACATGTTCCAAAACCAATTGGGTATTATACCGGAAATACCTCCAGACGAAATATCAACTTCAAATAATTTGCTCTGAGTTTGTAACCATTTTGGAAATTGAGGCCCTACTTTGCACTTTGCCAAAGATAAAGATCTTAGTTGAAAAGGAGGAATCCAATTACTGCTCAAATTGAAAGACAAGGCTACATTATTGGATAAATCCAAGAGTAGAAGGTTGGTAAGGTTTGAGAAGTGGGTTTCAGTTACATCTCCTTCTAACAGGTTTGATGAGGCATGCAATTCTTCAAGCTTTGATAGCTTCCCTATAGTCTCTGGTAAGCCCCCTTGCAATTGATTTTCAGAAACATCTAGCCTTCTTAAGGACAAAGCATGTGATAGATCAGGAATTTGTCCAGTAATTTGATTCCAAGAGAGATCTAGCACTCTTAAGGAAGTATGTGATAGATCAGGAATTTGTCCTGTAATTTGATTTTGAGAGAGATCTAGCACTCTTAAGGACAAGACATGTGATAGACAAGGAATTTGTCCTGTAATTTGATTTTCAGAGAGATATACCTCTCTTAAGGACAAAACATGTAATAGATCAGGAATTTGTCCTGTAATTTGATTGTAGGACAAATCTAAATATTCAAGACTTGAAGGTAGTCTGAAGATTGATCCATTCAGCTGGTTGAAAGGTGCGCGCAATTCTCTCAAAGATGTAAATCTGGTGTTGATATCTGCAGGGAGTTCACCAGTGAATTTACTCTCAGTTAAGTCTAAGATTTGTAGAGACTTGTCTGCATCCTTGAGCAACTTTTGGAAAAGTTCAGCAATTGACGCATTTAATTGAAAATTAGTACGCAAAGATAAAATTCGTAGATGAGTTAAATTCCAAAAAGATTTTGGAATTCCAGCATCCTCCGTGATAACAGAATCAAGATAAAGGTTCTCAAGAATTTCCATGTCTCCATCAGGAATGGTATCTGCAAAGTAATTTCCTGAGAGGTCGATGGTAGTGAGTTTTTTGCTTGCATTGCGCAACAAGTGGGATACCGAAGAAGTATTGATATTGTTGTAAGAAAAATCAACAACGGAAAGAAATGGAGAAGAAGAATTAAGCGAGAAAGGCGGCAAAGACCCATGGAGTTCGCAGAATGGCAACTGTAATTTCTCAAGGAAAGGAGGGAGGGTGACACTGGTTTTTGATGACTCAATGTCAACACCACTGAGATAAATGGATCTTAGAGAGGAAAGAAGAGAGAGCCACTCAATATTTTTTATTTTCAAATTTGAAGAATAATAATATTCAGAAATATTTAGAACTCCAAGATTGGTAAGGTTCCCAAGTTGTGGAGGAATTGTACCACTGAACCCGGCATTCATAAGACTCAACACACGTAATCTCTTAAAGGAACCAATGAATCCAGGGATAGGACTCCCTTGAAAATCATTGAAACTGAGGTCCAAATAATTCAAATGCTTCAGCTCAAGTAGAGATGGACTAACCTTGTGGCCACTCAGTCCAACTGGGGAACCATAATTATCGAAGTGGGCATGAAGATCAAGCTTGGTTACATGAGCAGTGGTGTTGTTGCAGTGAACACCCCACCAATTGCAACATTCAATATCATCACTTCCCCAAGAAGACAGAACTCCATACTCATCCACAAGGCCTTGTTTGAAATCCAGAAGAGCAAGCCTCTCCCTCTCAATACACCTTATCATGTTGTTTTTAGCTGCAACTCTTTGTGTGAAAGCACAAGAAGACGAAGAAGACAAGCAGACAAAAATGAAAAGGTAAAGAAAGGGAGGAAGTAGCGTAGTAGTAGTAGTAAACAACATTCTCATAGCAACACAAGAAGGTTGTAGGAATATTGATTTTGAGAGCATGATGGATGAATAATAGATGCTTTATGAAATCTTGCAGTGGGAGGGAGAACAACCAAACTAACTCTAATATATATACTGTAATTTCGAGAGCATGTTGTTGGATTCAAGGACAGCTCATTAATGAAAATGAGTCGATTTATAATTAATTAGTAATTCTGTATATTTAATTTAATACAATTTTTATTTGAATTTAATTAATAAAATAGTTTATAATATTTTAAAAATTAAATAAGTCTACATTCACAAATCTTGATTTTTTTTTTCTTTAAATTTTCTGATGTTTTAAGAGTTTGGTTAAAATTGGTGGCCGGACTAGAGGAGTTTTTGGAAATTAGAAAATTTCATGGAAAGAAGATGAACACCCCATACTATGGTTGACAGGATAATGGTGCTGGCACCCGAACCGAGTCATAAACGGGTAGAATTGCAACGGGTGTCACCTTTACTGCCATTGAAGTCACCATTGAAGCCACCATTGATGTCACCATTGATGAGAGAGAATTAAAGGCTTAGCTCCCCATTTATGCCTCATGTTTTTACTGTTAGTAGCTTTTGTATAAGTAGGAGCTCCCCTCAGCTTGAAGACACGTTGACTATTTTGTACTAAAACACTTGGCAATACAACTATTGTCACTCTTTTACACTGCGTTATTCTAATAATATATTTTCGGTAACATATTTACAGGCATTGGTGCTTTCATTGAGAGCTTGAGTCCCACACTCAAGCAGGCGACGACACACACAACTCATTCCTCTTTCAACAGCAAGCTTGAAAGAATGGTGTCCCACAACTCCCACGGTTCCCGCAACGTGAACAATGGCAATGCTTCAGGTGACCTCTGGGACCAACTCACCAACAATCGCGGAGGGGCGAACCAAGCCGTGAACCTCCAGGCGACCGCCGATGTCATTCAGCAAGCAGTGACGGTGGCGGTGGGACAGCAAGGCCAAGTGCCCCTGCCGCGGCCCCAAGAAATAGGGGTAGAGACCCAAAGAAGTGGACCGGCCAGGCAACAACCAGGCCCTTCCCAATTTGCACCAGAACGATTGGGACATAGGGCGCCCGTGCGGCAAAGATTAGGATCACGGGCCAAGGGGTCCTCTACCAGAGGCCCTCGCCAACACGAAAACAGAGAAGCCGGGAGATCACCCACAGAGGAGGTGGGCGAGTCTCGGGAGCCGGCCCCATGCCGACACGTTGATGAGTCGACCCTACGTCGACACTTGGAGGAGCGACGCGTCGGCACTCGGCGGAGGAGCGACGCGCTGATGAGCGGGTTCCACACCGACACTTGTATGGACGGAACGTCGAGGAACCAGCTCCGCGTCGACACTCAGATAGATGGCACGTCGATGAACTAGCTCCACGCTGACACATGGAGGAGCGGCAGCCGGCCCCGCGCCGGCACCCTGACGAGTCGGCCCTGGTCGAGAGGTTGCAGAGAAGAATCGAGGAGTTAGCGAGAAGGGTGGAGGCACGGGAGCAGTCGCCGGAACCCGAGGTACGGATGACAGCACCATTCTCCCCAAGCATCATGGACGTACCTTTGCCGAGGGACTTTAGGTTGCCCGCCATCAAGGAGTACACGGGCGCCACTGACCCACGTGTCCACATGACGAGGTACAAGGCTGCTATGGTAATGAGCGTGGCAGGGGACGCCATCATGTGCCGAGCGTTCTTGTCCACCCTGGATGGAGCGGCCCAAGACTAGTTCAACACCATCCCGGATGGGTCGATCCAAAATTTTGGGGAGTTGTCCAAGAGCTTCCTGACATACTTCTCCGGTAGCATACAACGTAAGAAACCCTTCTCTCACCTCTGTGTAGTGAAGCAAGATAGAGGCGAGAGCTTCAAAGACTTCCTCATCAAATGGAAAAAGGAAGTCAATAATGTCTACGACTTCGACTACATGGCGGCGATCGCGATATTTATTGATGCCTTAAGATCAGGGTATTTCCACAAGCAGCTGAACGCCCACCACCCCCGTTCTTACGAAGATCTGATGAGGACGGTTAGCCGCTATGCTGAAGCAGAGGACGTCGACAGGAAGAAGAAGGACGAAGAGGATGGTAGGAAAGGTGGGAAGCCTGGGAAAGCTGGTCCGCCCAGCCAGGGAAAGGCCGAGACCACGAACAACCTCGCATGGTCCCCTTGCGTAATTTAACTCCTCTTACTCATCCCGTCAGTGTCATTCTAGAGCAAGCTGAGAAGGTGGGAATGGTAGAATTCCCCGAGGAGTGCATGAAGGTCTCCCCAAAGACAGACCAAACAAAGTACTGCAGGTTTCATAGGCAAGCCGGCCATGATACGGATGAGTGTCACGTTTTGAAGAGACAAATAGAAGAACACATCCAGCAGGGCTACTTCCAACATTCCGTCAAGCGATCCAAGCAGTAGCAACAGCCGCAACACAATCCACCAAAGAATGTCTGGAGGAATGAGGATGGCACCAAGCCGTCCACCTTGAACGCAGAAAAAAGAGAACACGACCAAATATCTAAGCAGAATGATAGCGAGAAAGAAACTGAGGTGGCGCCCAGACGACAAAAGAAGCACACCATACACTTTATCTATGGTGGACCCGCAGGGGGCGACACGCCCGCGGAAAGAAGGAAGTGGAGCCGACAACTATATGTGGGAGAAGTGGTGAGTCTTCACAGAGAAAAGAAACAGAGACAGGAGGCAACACCTTCTCTGATGATGACCTCCTAGAGGGCCCGTTACCCCATCATGACGCCCTAGTGATTGAGATGGACGTCAACGATGTCATTGTCCGTCGCATCTTAGTCGACGCGGGAAGCTCAGTCAATGTGATGTACTACGATGCCTTCACCAAGTTAGGGATACCTAGGAACCAGCTCAAAGAAGTACATACCCCACTCTCTGGATTTACAGGTGATTCAGTGGAGACGGAGGGGTCAGTGGTCTTACCAGTGGAGATAGGCACGAGCCCTAACATTCGCAAACTTGACATGGAATTCATCGTGGTAAGACTCACTTGTGCGCACAACATCATATTGGGGAGGCCGGCACTGGAGAACCTCAAGACCATAGTGTCGGTGGAACACTTGTGTATGAAGTTCCCTACTCCGAATGGGATAGGAGTCGTCAGAGGAGACCAGCGAGCAGCCCGCAGTTGTTACGTAAAAGCATGCAAAAAGATTGGCAGAAAGGATCTACAAGTCCACACCATCTACAAGGATGATCAATCAGGTATGGAACTTGGAACATTTGATTAAGTATTTTCCTTAATATTCTGGTAGTCATTTGGGACTAGTGTTTGGTAATTGCGATCCGCCCGCTTTATATTATGAAATCTTTTGAAATAATATCTTGTTGTTGTTGTATTCGGAAAAATGATCCGCCCAAGTTTTTTATTGAAGCAGGTTCGTTTTCGTCATCCACGGAACGCTTTCGGAAAAAAAAAAAAAAAAAAAAAAAAAAAAAAAAAAAAAAAAAAAAAAACAGAGGGAAAGCGGGCAAGGCTGAGGCACACGCCTCGGCCACGAATTGGCCAGAAAGTGGTCAAGGTGCACGCCTCGGCCACGGTCGGTCGAGGCGCACGCCTCAGCCACGATCGGTTGAGGCGACGCCTCGGCCATGACTGGTCGAGGCGACGCCTCGGCCACGATCGCCGAGGCGACGCCTCGGCCACGATCGACCGAGGCGACGCCTCGGCCACGATCGGCCGAGGTGCACGCCTCGGCCACGATCGGTCATGGCGACGCCTCGGCCAAGATCGACCGAGGCGCACGCCTCGGCCATGAGCGGTCGAGGCGACGCCTCGACCGCGATCGGCCGGAGGCACGCGCCTCGGCCTGCCAACCTATGCCAAAGCCCGTCTCGGGCAGCATAAAAAATAAAATAAAATCACATACTCAGGATCAACCGGGATTCTGCACGATATCAAGCAAATCCAGTCTTACTCCCTAGTCAACTCAAACACATCCGTAGACTCAGGAGTAGGGGGGACTGGTGACAGGATAATGGTGCTGGCACCCGACCCGGGTCATAAGCAGCATCTGGCCCGGCACCATATTTGACCCGGCACCACATGGAAACCCAACGGGCAGAATTGCAACGGGTGTCACCTTTACTGCCATTGAAGTCACCATTGAAGCCACCATTGATGAGAGAGAATTAAAGGCCTAGCTCCCCATTTATGCCTCATGTTGTTACCGTTAGCAGCTTTTGTATAAGTAGAGGCTCCCCTCAGCTTGAAGACACGTTGACTATTTTGTACTAAAACACTTGGCAATACAACTATTGTCACTCTTTTACACTGCGTTATTCTAATAATATATTTCCGGTAACATATTTACCGTCAATGGTTTTCAAAAAAAAAAAACCATACTATAGATAAATAGCATAGACTTGACTTAATAATTTTAAAGGTATTTTCGTCATTTTTAAATTAAGATTTCAATTTGAGCATGAATAAATAGATTTAAGCTCTAAAATTTATCATAATTATTCGTAGTTCTCTTCTTCATCCTACCTTAATTTGAGGAGGATAACTGCCAATTGAGATCAATCTTAGAGCTTAAATCCATTTATCATGCTTAAATTAGGATCTTAATTTGAAAATGACAAAAATACCCTTAATAATTTCATATTTCGACATGTCTTAATTAAACGAAGAGGTGACCGACATGATGAATTTTGACACTAAAATAATAATCGTGGATTGAAATTGGTATTAAAATAATAGTCGTGGATGAAAATTTGTAGGAATTAAACATGTGGACCAAAGCTGTCATTTTGTTAATAATCGTAGGGAAAAAAAAAAAAAAGAAGATATAATTGTCACAAAAAAATGTTTGAAGAATTTTGATTTATTTAATTAAGAGTTGAGTTGATGGTGTATCGTGGAAATTTGGAAAAAGAAAATACTTTGGTATTGATGTGGGGAGAAATCCATTTGTGGAAAATTATATTCAAAGCGTCATATTAAACATTTAAAATTTTAGGAGGTTTCCATTTTTATTTTTATTTTTTTAGTAGAAATTTTAGAAGTAAAAAAAGTGGTGTAGGGTGCATGTTGGTTCACTCCATGATTAAAGTTTATTCAAAAACTTATAAAATGGTGTAAAGACTTACTTGAAGTTGTAT